ATATCTACCTTCTGCAGATAACTGACTATGTTTGAAAGACGGGAAACCTGTACGATTTGGCTGTGTATGAAGCTTACTTTATGTCTGTCTCCAAAAGGCTGGTTGAAAAACATCTGTGTTTGACATTTGTTGAAACTTATCGGTGACCCAAGTAAAGTTAACAAAAGCTTCAGTAAAACATTTATCGACTCGCAATGTTCCCAACAGTCGAAATGCACAGTTTCAGTCAGATTAAATTAACATTCGCAACACACAAATGAAAATAAGCAACGACGAAAAAATATTTTCATGAAAACTTTACACTTATTTAGTGCTTTGAAAAATATCATGAACAATGCAAGAGAACTAAAATAACCAGAATACATATTTTGATTTGGGATCAATAAACGACGACTGAGTTACAATAGACTTTCAGAAGACATTTTGGAAGAGCAGGTGGGTTCAGTGACTGAAGTTAAGGTAAATAAGAGGATTCATAAAACTAGAATGACGAGTGTCAAATAAATGGAGATATTTATATCAGGTTTTTGAATAAACTCGATCCTACCGAATAGATTCTTGAACAAGAATAGTACAAGCAGTGAAACTTGAAATTTCACATTCTATCTGACGAACGAACCCGAGCAAATAGTTAGGCACAAAATGCTAGACTGTACACAAATACCAACTCAAAGCTACTTTAGGCAATACCACTTACTAAAATGCTTTAGAACGAATTGGTTGGTTAATGAACATTCACGTAGCGATATACTCATTTGGACATATCTTAGGAATAATAATGAAGAACAACCGTTATGGATACATACAACTTCTTAGGTGCAGAAGCAATTACGCATGCAAATCCTAATGGAAGTCATCTGGCCGATAAGTGTGTCAGCGCACTGAAGCTTCTTCGAAACACCTCTAAATCACGTAGCGCGATATTATTCAATACAAGTACTAGGTATTCGAATGATATAATGGCCACTGGCAGCAGTTATATATGACCAATTAGATAAGCGGTAATATATTACGTACGTACATCAGTGAGCCATAAGGTAACCAAACTCATCAACGAGAACTGTTAATTCATTCAAAGAATTACTCTCGCGTACGCAAACTGTTCGAGAGAATGTAGACATATAGTAAACAGGCTAACTTAAACAGCAAAAGAACCTTTACCGAAAATTAGTAGAACTTTTAAAAGTGCCACATTCCTACAGCTCTGACTTTAGGAAAAGAGAAAAACAAATGCCGATGCAAACAAAATCCCAGATTTAAAAATATAAATGCCTGATAATTTACATAAAATACAATATACTAGAATGTTGAATAAAATATTGCTGATGCGTAGATTTACTACTGTGTTGGGAACAGTTGCGATCTTATAATATCATAAACATAAAAGAGGCATTTTATATGTAGCGTAATTGATGCTTTTTGTGAAATGCTTTAGACAATCTGCACCCTTCGTAATAAATTTGAAGTTTTACGCCAACTGTGACAAAAATACGTTTGAAGGAAACATTGCACTGGTAAGATTGAAGCGCATTTTTTGGCCAGTTTGTCGGAAGAAATTTCCACATAATCCTCAACAGTTTCATTCTTCCCCATTCAGAGTACGGAAACATGATATTTCCCTTTTCATTTCAAAAGGATAATGACACTCTGGAACATGTCCAATGTCGAGCCATGAAATCAGTTCGGGACTCAAATTCAAGCCTTATGAACAGCAACTTTATTCACTAAACCTTTGTCCATTGGAGTAAAGACGTTTTAGAAGTGACCTAATTGCTTATAGTATCCTTGACGCTTCTGGACACCCCCTTAAGCATCTACTTATGCTAAGTTCCATCAAAAACCTAAGGAATAACACCCAGAATTTGGAGACAACACAGCAGAACGGATTGTAGTCACAACTTCTACTGCTTAATGGTTGTCAAATGCTTGAATTCAATACCGAATGAGCGACTTCCATGGAGTCCTTTGAGAGAAAACTACACTTATTCTTAGGAACTAAATATAGTATTTTACTATGAATTATCTTTTTTTTCTCTCTTTCACTGATGATGTACCTATGTTCCTGTCTCGAGGTATTGGTGACCCACTTCATTGTTTTTTAAGAGCAGATAGCATGCATGAGCACATAGAGTATTTCAGAACAAACAGCGTATCAAGTTCTGCACGACCCTTGTGGTTCGGGAAAACGTTATTTCTGACAGTCTTGAAAACATCGCAAAAATGCAGAGCCTAGTTAAACATAACTGCAGAAAAAAGCTATAGCAACCTTAGTTTAAAATCTAAGACAATCTAGATAAACGGATAATTGTGGAGGTTGACTTAGACACTATTGCACTTGCTCACTCAATCAGAAATAATATGGTAGGATAGGGGACAGTTCTATACAAATATTACTGCCGAGTTGCTCAGGTAATAAGCAAATCAGTTCCAATAAATAAACCTTTCTATCGATACAGGATTACTATTCTATTCTCTCTGGTTTTTTCGAACACAGAATAATTAGTATGGAATATTTAAATTTGTTGCAACACTGAAAGTTTCCAGAACAGTAAGTGAGTTCCAATTCATGACGAGAGTACACAATTCCATTCAGTTCAAGCAACACAGCCAATAAGTAGGAAGGGTCAATATAGTAGCCACCAAAACCAAAATAACAGGTAAAACAACATGAAAATTATTGAAAAACATAGAAAGTCCGTGGAAACGCCGCAAAAGCCAGCACTAAAACAAAAATTAAATCGTAAATTCTAAACTATAACCAAAGACTCGATGGTGAGTACGGTTAAATAAGGATTAGGAAGGAATTACAAGTGTGTTCATACACATTCACACACAACCCCGAAATAAGAAAATATATTGGCACGGAACACCACCCCATATAACATAAGGTGACTCCTATTCCTCCAGTTTTTATTTATCCCATTAAATCCTCGAGCTTAAGGAGTGATCAGAACGCTTATTCATACTTCCTACACTCATATATACTGCTCACTAATCAAAGAGACAAGTGTATATCTTCTGACTACCCAATTACCATGCAAACTGTCATGGTCCTAACCTTCTTATAGTTATCTATTTCGCTGCGTTCTACTATTTGTTAAGACAACCTACGATGAATCGAAATGTACAATGCTACAATCACTAAATTGATGTGTTTGGAGGGATATGAAATATCCTATTACCACCACTTCCCAAACAAACTAGCGAGATGTCTAACCTGTTTCCAATGTCTTTCATACTTATCTCCCTTAGTAATAGCAAACTATTAGGGGGCAAAGCTTGCTTATCTTCAGCGTCTTGGATCGATAGCGTTTATGATCAATTGTTTAGCAACCCTTCAAATAAACCGAACAGATGGCACAGGTCTCGACAGTCAAAGTCTGTTTCCTGATCACCAGTGATATCAAGCTGAGTATAGGCTGAATCATCAGTTCCCATACTGTACCCAAATGGCTGGGCGATGGTGAGCCGAGGTACCATTTGGACCTATTTCATTGCTAGTTCGTTTGTACTTTCAGTTGTACAAATGTTCTTAGCTCCAAAAACGTACGCACAAAATTCGACCCATTGTCGCTTTTAATTTCTGCGGTCCTCTCTTTTCTTCATATAAGACGTGATAGAAACGTCATAAGTGAATAAGTGTTTAAATTATTATTTTTTTATGCACAACTCGATCTATAACTTTTTTTGAATAATCTTTCTCTCTTTACCACGAAACGTCAAAATTAGTCCACTATCATGACGGTAAAGCTTTACTAGAGCGGAGTAGTGAAACCATGTATTGTTTCATATACATTCATTCTGAACGCGAGGAGATTGGTAGATATATTTGATGACTATCAATATACCTAGAATCGGCTGATCTAATCTGGCTAACGATTGCAGTAGATGTTGAGCACGGCGTTCCCATTCGTGATCTGATGCGGATGCATAACCGAGCGCCTTCAGCTAGGTGAGTCCATTAAAACATGTGGTCAACATCCAATGTCGAAAACTTAGAGCTATTTATTTTGATGATTTATTTACCGCTACAACTGTATGATGTACGAAGTTGATGATGTCACAGGTATTCAGTATTTGACAACGCTTCTACCAGTAACACCTTCTAATATATTTCGTTCCCACCCAGAGAAATCAAAAGACAGAGTCGAGGAGATCGGAAGAGTATATTTGGCGATGACCAATATATCGGAATTCTCTGATCTAATCTGGCTAGCGATTGCGGTTGATGTTGAGCACGGCGTTACCACACGTGATCTGGTGCGGATGCCTGACCGAGCGCCTTCAGCTAGATGAGTCCACTAAAACATATGGTCAGCATCCAATGTCGAAAACTTACAGAGCTATTTATTTTAGGGAGGGTGTATTAGATTGGGATCCTACAAAGTAGTAGGGGTGGAAAGTAATGTTATATAATTATATATTCAATATTCATAATTATACATTTTATACACTTATTAACCAGACAGTAAACACTGATGGCTATTTCTACCCTTCGCAGTTGCCGCAACCATGTCGATAGAGTCAAGGGTACAGAGAAAGATAAACCTTAGCCACAAATTTTCTAGCCCTTGAGAGAATACAAGCTTTGAAAGGAATTAGTTTTTGCTATCTGCTATTTCTAAAACAAAGCGATTACTGAATGCTTAATGGAAAGGTTGTTGGGAAAACCTAGAAACAACCGAGCTGACTATTTAGGTGAGTAAGAGCGGCTTACACATATTCGGCTGAGATACTTCCACTTTTTTCTGATTTTGCATCTTCAGTTATGACTATCCACCAAAAGCAAAAGGTTAAACAACAGTAGTGAATCATTATAAAGTTATTCGTTTCCGCCATTTACTAATACAGTCTACTCTTTAAGAGTAATCGAACGTTAGAATTTGGTTCTTGAGCTAGTCAGAATAAAGTTCGAGGGTCTTTTTCCCGAGTACTTATATTCTTATCTTTTCTCACATAAGTTCGTTTGACTGCATCAGATAAACGAAGTTTTAGAAAAACGTTTTCAAATTAAATAATTTGCCCATTCGTCCTTCGATTCTGACTTGTCGTGGGTTATATTGTACAGTTGTCGAAAGGTGATCCCCATTTTCGTCGAAAATTTCTTTTGCTTTCCGAGATTTTTTGCATGGATATTCATCCCTTGACTAGCGAAAATACGTAAATAAGTCGGAATGCTTTGAATACTCAGTTCTTAGGCGTTATTTCTACTACTTCCGCTTTATTTCAACATTCACTGACGTTTCATTAGGATCCCATCGTAGCTACTTACGGAAAGCGTCATTTTTGGAGCTCGATGGTCTGTCTTTCCTTCCTCCCCGGATTCAATTTACTTACAAGCATATGATTTGTTCAAGAGCTCAGATGACTGCTAAGCATACTTGTATTTTGCCTAGGTCACTGTTCAAAACCAAGTGATGCCATACTTTTTATTCAAGCGACTGTCAGCTGGTAGTTCCTCGACTAAGAAAAAACCATATTATTATCATCTTATTCTGATGTTTAGGTACTAAAATTATATAACTTCATGTGTATCATTTTAGCTGCAAGTGGATTCATTCAGTATTCGATCCATAAGGATAGGAAGCATTGAATATTTCTGGCGTGAACGTCTACATTTTAACAAGCTCTACACAGTTCCTGATAATTTTGAGGATCTGTCTGTTGCTGAAAAGTCTAGCTAGCATTCACTTAAGTGTGAGTACCATCTGAGTAATATCATCGTGGAGTTTGAACGTGTTAATTATCAGTAACTTTTACAGCTCGGTTTAGCAGCTAGAAATAATAAATTGATAAGAAGGCAAAATAAATCCAATGGTCATAGAATGCTTAAGACTAGATGGGAGGTAAAATAGGACACGGGTTTTCACCGTTGTGGTCGACTCTGAGCTCTCACACAAGGATTCCGACTGTTGATCCCTAACCTTGGAAGTCGTGCTGGTCTGTTTAACAGTGGTCCTTGACTTTCCTATCGTAAATAGTACGCGGTACCAGGTACAGGTACTAGGTAAGGATGGCAAATCAATTGATGAAGTAATGAAACTTCAGTTGAGATGACTGGGACACGTGCTACGTATGCCGAACTACCGACGTGCGATGTTTTATGGTGTAGGAGTAAATTGGAAGGAGACTACAGGTGACCAGACCAAAACATGGCATAAATCCATGAAGTCACTGACAACTGGACTGAGCCATGTTGGTAGGTGTAGACTACCTGGTTGGGATTCGCGAGACGATAGCGACTGATCGTTAGAGACCTTGGATGACATGGCTCGAAATCGTTTGCAATGGTGGGTCCACTCTTTGTGTTCTCCCAAATTCTAATCTACTGAATTCTTCATGTCCCTTTATTTTTTCTCTTTCCGAATTCATTTCACTGGATTATACTCCTTGAATAACATCTTCAAACCTTAATCTTTCCAGATTACTGCTTATACTTTTATTATCTCTACCACTACGTGATTTGGATCGACAACTGCATCTCTGTGCTAATGTGGTATGACAACTCGAAATGATGTACATACGTACGAAGTCCTACGTTGTTACTGACTGACTGACTGGCACCATTGTCCGAATTCAGTGGCTACTTGTACTTAGTCTCCCAATCACTTCATGCCAATATAACCTAAAATTTCTGCCAAAAACCGTACATGCGGCCTCGATAGTGACAGTATGTTTACTAATTGTATCAGTTATGAACTAACTCATACGTTCTACTAAATACAATATGAATGTTCTAAAATCCATCTCCTAGTCTGAATTTCTACTTGAAGGAACAAAAAGCTACTATGTAGTCAAGTTTAAAAACAGTACGTCGATAAGTTAAATTCAGTTATTCTCAAAAAATCTGTCTAATCACTTTTTCCCATTCTTTATGTAAAGCTGAAATGGCGTTTGTCAGGACTCACTCGGGACTTTTTAATAACACAATCGTCATATGTAAAAAATATGAAACAGGAATCCAGTAATTGGTTCATGACATACTCGGTAATATGAAAATATCATGCAGATAACTAAACATTTTTGCCATCAGTTTATCAGAGTCGCTTTGTCGTGGGAGATGTGCAAATAAATCATGTCAGCCCCTATACAGTGATGATAAAATTGTTATCTCAAAGAAAATTGCCTCAGAAAGTCTGTGCGTTTTACATCTAGTACGAGTAATGACGATTGACCATGTTTCAGCAAAATACATAGACGAAGTTTATTGTAAAATGTATCATATTGTGCCAAATATCGGAGATGAACTTAGGTCGGGCAATAACTTATCTCACTAGCTAGTATACAATAAGTGGTTCAATACAACAAAATGTCCATAACGGCCGTAATAATAAGTAATAGTAGGGGTGATAAGCAGTTTGATTTTTAAACTCTATGGGGTCACAAGGGAAAGTCCCGTATATTGCTTCCATCCCTCCCCAAAATTGTTTTTCAAGACTTAGCACATTACCTTGGTTACTGAATCATGTTAGTCTAATCTGAGGAGTTTAGACATTGTTGTCATCAAAGTTTCTGATTTTGTATAATATTTTGGAAACATTTTCGTCAGTAATTTTATTTATATGACACGAAACTCATATTCGGTGTTTTGTTGATTTTTTTAGTCAATAGAAAACCTCCATACGCCATTCTGGGTTTTCATTTACAGCTATATACTGCAATGGAATATTTGGAGAATGCACCATTAGAACCTGGATGTCCTACCTTCGAAGTAACGCTCTTTTCTAAATATATTGCCGTAGCGGTCAGTCATAAAGAAACTTGGTGCTCGGGTTATAGATTCTGTAATGAAATGGCCTCAACCAAGCGTTCTTGGTAAACTTTGGCACTCCTGGTCTCGAAATAAAGGTTTGTGTTTTTGTTGGTGTGTTTACTCAAAGTAAATAAATAAAGGTACCGCAAATCATTCATCAACGCCTACATTCTACGTGTTAAATTGTGTGAAGTAGGTGAACAAGAAACGATCATGGTGAATTTTGTTTCAAATTAACAGAAATGAATCTAACCTACATATATTTATTTATAGTGTCTACTGCTTAGATATAAGTCACTGGAGATTAAAATTTTTTAATCTTTTTTTAAGGGTGTGAGTAAGTGTCATTTGCGTTGAGTTATTCAGTTTTATTCGCTCCGCTACCACTAATCCGAGAGATAATGCACTCAGAGTTTGGGATCTGATTTTGATAACATCAGATCAGCTCTGAAATTTAAGATAAATAACTCAAAGTACTAGTCCATCAAAATCTTGTTAGCTTCCTGTTTTGTGTACATATATGGTACTGTTCGAAAAGCATGTAAATGCCTGGTACTAGTTAGTTATATTAAATGTGCTAGATAATTTTTCCGCGTGGTAACCGCGACCAGTGACTGGAGATTTTTGGCGACGTGGCTGAGAATCTATCACGATGACGCAATTTATTTCACTCTATTTTCTGAATATTGAGTTCCAGTATTCCTTTGTACATACTTTTCCACTGTCATTTTTAGGCATATTCTCAGTCTCTAGTGTTTCTTATTAACACTGCTACTTTATTATTTCTATCTACCAATAATCTTGTTGATTTCTTGTCGTGCTAATATGCTATAGCATCTTTGTTTAACTCGCATTTGCCCATGGCTCTACATGATTAATAACTGGCTTAGACGTGATTTCAGACTAGGGTTATAACTTGAAAACAGGACGGGGAATAAGTATGTTTTAAATCTCGGTTGTATTTTCACTTTTGACAGGTTGGCAAAGAAAAAGCTTGACAGTTACTTCGTCATACTATCACTAATTGCCAACGTGATGTGGTAGTTTGACTGTTATTTTGCCGTCAGTAAGGTTACAGTTTCGTGCTGTACTTATAACTTGCTTAACATGAAACGAAAATAGTGAATTATTGTATAATTCCCTTTATATTTTTCAAAATTCGGTCAATAGTTTTAAATTGGCTAAGAATTGTAGGACGCATTAAACTTCGTTAAAGTATTGAAGTTCTTGCACTAGCTAGTAATTAAGGCTAATATGCATAAACCTACAGGAATCTTTTTGTTAAATCACTTTTTTCATTTCAATTTATCGTTGAGCAAACCTGATGTTTTTAATACCTACAGCACATAACTGGACTGTAGAGGAAACTGTACATTGGCTTACTAGTTACGCCAAACTTCCGGAATATGAATATTTGCTTCAGAAAGGAAATATTTCAGGAAGTATTTTTCCTCGGTAACTTAGTACTCAATGTTTTTTATAATTGTGTTTACTGTGTGTAAATTATCTAAAGGGTATACATGTAGTAATAACATTTTGCAACAGCTCGTTGTCAGTAATTTCTATTAATGTCGTAAGATTATTTGAGGCTTGTCCTTTCATTTTTTTCAGCGGTGAAAATCTTCGAAGGTCATTCTAATTTAAGTCTTATTAAGTATCCTACTCAAGATTGCTGTTCCACTTTTTAGTGTTTCCCTTTATTTGAATATTTCGGTCTGCTAATTAAACGTCAAACTCTACCCTTGTCATAGTTCATGTCTTTTTCTAAGTACACGTCTCAATGTAACAGTAAAACTGAAGATTTTTATGGTGTTAAGTAAACTGCTTCCTGTGCATGACACTGATACCAGCCATGGTTTGTAGATCGAATTTAAAATCCCTAACCCAGCGGTTACAGATTAAGTTCTTAAGCTGCTGAGCACACTTCTTCTTTATTAACGTATGTCGAGATTTCTTAAAGTTCAGGAATCTAAGAGAACATTTATATAGGAATCCGACGCAGGTAGATCTATTTTATTATTTTCTCTTTTGTAAGTAAGTTAGGTTATATAGTTTTAAATTAGCGTGAAACTGTCAAAATATTGATTTCATTTTATGGATTTAATATCACCCTCCTTAACGAGTAGGATGTAGTTAGAATATCTAGATGACAAATTTAGGTGCAACTCGATTTCGCACAAATTAAAAACAGACAGAAAAATATCTTTACCAAGTGGCAGAATCCGTTGTAATGGTCCTAATTCATCTATTATTTGTGCATTTAGGGGTTTAGTCGTCAATTCCTGTTGATTTGCAAGCATGTGTTTGGTCTCCAATACAAAGCAGGTAAGTTGTCTAGTCAATGCTAAGCTTAATAGTTTTCTTAGTCGCCGAAAAACTGAGAAGTGTAATGAAGACGTTAAACTGATAATATTTCTGTCTTAGGAGTATCTTTGAAGTTTAGATTCAAAACCAATAATTATTATTGTCTTTTGTAATTTTATTCAATTATTTGCTTGTGACAACTTGGTCACATCAATTATAGTGATGCTTACTGGGTATTGTTATGCGAAACCCACTCCTAACACAGTCATATGGAATATTAGTACTGTTTGTAAAGCTCATTTACTCCCATTTACATCCATATTGTAAGTAGAGACCAATCCTGACCGTAACTATTACCCTGACATGATGGTAGGGCTTCTCCATCGTAGTAATCCGATCGAGCCACATAGGCTGGAATAGTTGTTACTTCAGACCCAACTATTCTAGGTTACTCGGTTAAGGAACAGTAAAGCCAAAGTCAGCAAACTCGTGATCCGAAGGTGGAGTCATACTGTGTGATGGCAGTAAGGTGTTCTCAGACAACCAGAATCTGCAGCAATGCTGCCTTTTCTTAACTAAAAGAAGAGGTTAGGAAAAGTTGACCCCTAAATTTTCACATCTCATCTTGCTACAAAGATTTCTGTTTCTGAAGGTAAAGCTTTTTGAAGTGCAGAGCCAACACATCAAAAATTCCCACAAGTCCCTGTACGACTGGCCTCAAATAGTTATCCCTTTGGCCATGTGGTGACGTTCCCAGGTAAATACGACCATTACTAATCCGAGTCTCTTTTCAGTTCCCTTAGTAAAAAAGATCTTTTCGTCCCGTGGGCAACCGAAAAGTAACAACCGCCTTTATGCCTCTACCATCACTAAACCAAATCTTTTTCTACTTTTTAATATTTCCTTCTATCACTACTATCAATCCTTCGCCCGCAACTTTATCCCCATATATCGCCACTCTTCGAGTCCATGAGATTTTATTGCTGGCTTCTTGAAGCTGCACTCCAAACTACATGTTGAAGCTTTTAATGTTGGACGTTATGTCGAATAGGCCAACGGGATTCCTTAACTAGGACTCTAGAATCTCGTACCTGTGATGTATTCTGTGCCCCTTAAACACACACACAGTATCCAAATGTAGTCAATCACTTGATTTTATATAGTTAATAGAGAGAAGCAGTGCGATTTATTTGCTGTATACTTCGAGACTCAATTGCTACATCTTGCGGCCTCGCTGATGCAGTCATAGCGCTAATTTCAGTCACGAAAAAGCTCTACCAAACGGGATTCCAATAGAAAATGGCTTTTGTACCGTCCGACTATGTAGGAAAGCAAGAACACAGAAAGATATGTCGTTGTTTTTCCCAACACTATCAACGACTGCAATTCGGATTGAGTAAAAGATGAGTTTTATAGAAAGCTTCTTGCTCTCTTACAAAAAAGCCAAAAGCCCAAATGTGCATGTCACTGTCAACCTTAACGTCTAAGTAGGTAGTTTAAACCAAGATGAAAGACATGTGGGTGGGTCTCATAGTGTCCCGGATCAATTAACAGACAGCGGGGACAGTCTTTTACAACTATGCTCAGACTATTGTTTGTTCTTAGCAAGCACCAATTGTAATCATGAAGACATTGTCTGATACGGCGAGTCCAATAATCCACTCAATGATTAACGTAAATAGATGATAAGTCTTATCGATTGAACGCTATATTAGTTTCCTAAGCTATTCTGGTAACCGCAAGCTAGAACTACACAGCGACTTGAACACCAGAGAGGAGACGCAAGTATGAGGGAAAATACTTTACTCCAAGGTTCATTTTATTGCAGAAAATATATGGTTTTTCTAATGCTTTAAATGTCCTTGGGTCGCCGGAATATTCTGGAATGCTACTAAACATAGTAGCGCTGTAGTATCCAACCAATCAGAGCTTCTGCATGTGACGTTTCGCTACCTTGATATTTCTGGCCAAGACTCCAAGTGAACGCTGATTGAACGAAACACTTAGTGTTTCTTGATGCTTGCTTGTCTTTTGCAAGCAATTTCTGGATCACCCCAACAATAGACCATATCTCCACGATTCATTGTTGAATAAGTTCGATAATTATTTTCACCTCAATGTGAGTCGGTATGATATCCAGTCAAACATCTGCGAAAACACTGATATTTACAGGTGACTATAATCAAAGGTAAAAAAAAGTCAGCGGATTTCAGCAGTGTCTACTGATATACCCTCGGAAACTCATCTCGTCAGACTCCGAACATTGTGAGAAGCAATGGCAACTCAAACGTAAACTGTCAAAAAGGTTACGTAACGATCTTTAGCAGTAGTGGGGAGCTGAGGTAGAAGCGATTAAAAAGACGGTAGCGTTAGGCAACAGTGGAGAGTTCCTCAAACATATCAAAGAAACGTATTAAAAATCCGGTATTTATTGATACTGTTCTTAAGAAAGATCGTTCAGTAGTGCGCTTTTAACCAAGAAGACTGTTATGATAGAATACTTTGTAGAGCCGTGTCTTCGAACTGTCATCTGCTTTTTCAGCCTCAAGTGGTGTCCGTCAAGGCTGTCCACTTTCTCCATTTTTGTTTGACTTCATCATAGACCTGCTACTGGAAATAACGTTCTCGTCGAATGAATTTTCGGGGATTGATCTCCTACCAAGAGGCACGCTTATTGATTTGGATTACGCAGATGATATAGTCCTGTTTAATGAAGATGCTGATAAAATGCAGAATCTTTTGGTAGCACTGAGCAAAAATGCCAGAATATTTGGGATCCACTTTTCCCCTTCTAAATGCAAGTTGTTGCTTTAGGACTGGCCTGCGTCAACACCTGAACTGAGGATAGGGAGTGAAGTAGTCGAGCGCATTGACAATTTCACTTATCGTGAAAGTTCGATCAGCCCAAATGGGTTGGTGTCTGACGAAATCTCAGCACAGATTCGAAAATCTTGTTTGGCTTTTGCCAACTTACGTCACCGATAGCGAAGACGAGGTATCCGTCTATCAATTAAGAAACGAGTATACGACGCGGCAGTCCGTTCTGTTTTACTTTACGGCTGCGAAACATGGCCACTAAAAGTGGGAGGTACTCGTAAGCTACTAATATTTGATCACAGATGTTTTAGAAATATTGCTGGCGTCTTCTGGGATCAACGGGTAAGTAATAGTGAGGTTGGACGTAGGGTATTGGGTAATGATGGTAAATCAGTTGATGAGGTTGTGAATCTTCATCGAATGAGATGGTTGGGCCACGTGTTACGTATACCTCAACACCTATTACCACGACGCGCAAAGCTGACTAGTGTTGGGGATGGTTGGAGGAAAGTCAGGGGCGGCCAAGCCGAAACATGGCATCAGTGCTTGAAGTCACTAACTTCTAGTCTTAGCCATGTTGGTAGATTCAGACTACTTTGTTGGGGTCCGCGTGACTGTCGTTGTAATGAATTGTTGGAGACTCTGAGTGACATGACTCAAAGTCGATCACAATGGCGTCTGTGTATACACTCTCTGTCTTCCTTTAAACTATGAGATTAAAATCGCTTCATATCTTTCTTTCTACGAACTAATTCTTTCTTCCCGTACTATGTCATTATATGCAATCCTTCTTTTACATATTACCACCACTGAATTAACTACTTCTATGAATTCGGTTTTCATATTGTGTTAATGAGGTATGGCAACTTGGACCGATGCGCATATGTGCCCGGTCCTACATTATAGCTGACTGACTGAGGTATCTTCGAAGCATTGCTCGTATGTTTTGGGACCATTAAGTTAGTGTTCCTGAAGTTAGGCGCAAACGATTCGGTAAGAATAGCAAATCAGTTGACAGTGTAGTGAATCCTTGTTGATTGATATTATTGAAATACGTATTGCATATGCCCATCCACCGGCTAACTCGATACTTCATGGTTGGCCCAGGAGTATATTGGGAAGAGAGCTAATGGCGGCTAAACTAAGAATTTTCATCAGCCTATAAAGAGACTGACTGTTAAACTGAGTCATTTAAGTATGTACAGACTGCCTGATAGGATTCTTCATGATTGTCGTAGCCAACGATTGGAAACTAAGGGTAAAATTCACTCCTTTTTCTTCCCTTAGAACATAGGTTTCTAAATTCCTTATAAGATTATCTCACTAATTTATATTTTGTCGTATCGTATATTTGATTTTCAATCTTTTTAATGTCACTAATACTGTTACTACCTCTACTATTCTGGAATTCTCCGTAACAGTTTCACTTCACCGTTCTAATGAGATGTGAAACTTAAACTGAATTCCACATATGCCAGGTTGTACGTTATGTATGCCTGACTGACTGGAAGGCCGATACAATGTGACTACCATAAATTTAACCGTTAAAAATGTTCTAGAGTTCAAAGGGCGCTATAATTCTTATAACTCAAGTTTAAACGAAATAAAATATCCGGTTTTATGTTTCAGCAGTGCCAACTATGAGTTGTGTTATAGATTCTGATTTTCTGGGAAACTCTTATTGACTATTTTATATATTGCCACTAAAACTCAAAATTCTTAATGGAGGATATGAGTCAGTTATTTAATTTCGCTTGGTTTTAGAGATGCGTTTTAGGAATAAATTTTCCTTTTTTTCAATTTCTTGAGAGCTGATCAATCGTGTATCTGTATTCTACTAATTTGCTTTTACTGTTTGTAGACCATATACTCTTACAAATGGTTTTTATTAATCAACTTACATATGATTTTGTGAGATATTGAAAAATACATAAGCCTTTAAATGGTGTGAATATTTGTGATGCACCTTTAATATAAGAATGTACTTTTAAATCATGTTCCTACTAAGTTTTAAACATATCAAGTTATGAGATAATTTAACTATTAATACTTTTATTGTATCTGCCTCCAGTAATTTTATTGGGACTTCAATATCAAGATCCGTCTAACTGTTATCAAATCTTAATTTTACCTCATACATGTTGGTTGTTTGGGTCTTCTCATTGATGTTCAAGTCTGCGATAGATCAGTTTCTTGATATATGTGCATCTTGTTCAGATCGCCTTGACGTTACCATTAAGTCACAAGCAGTTTAAGCAGAGATGAGTATTAGCAATATTGAAGTCATCTGGACAGGATGCACATATGCTAAAATGACTGACCGATTGAAGTCCTAAACATCAATGGAAACATCGAAACAACCAATATATATGAATTAAAACTAAAATCCATCCCACTCTACAAATCAGTGGCTATCATAACTCAGTAGCTAAGTTTATAACGCGGTGGCGTTTAAAGCGTAGGGTATTGAGTTGGAGTCGCGGAGTAAACACCAACTCTGGAATCCACTGCTAGCTGCCACTCATCTTTGCTTAAAATGTTATCAAATCATTTTCTAAAATTAAAATACTTATTCCAATTATTGTATTTGTAAGTTGTTAAGATTTTTAGTTTTAAAACTAGTTGGTTTGTAGAGAGTGGCATTTATTTTAATGCTTACTATTTTTGAGTTGATCTAGTCACGATAATGGTAAAAAATTTGTCAACTCGCTTAATTTCATTAGGATTTTCGAACCAAACGTTTGGGAAGCCCATAACTTCAACACTGTAAATTCATTGCATTCTGGATTGACTAATCATGTATCAAATGTTAATCTTTTCGGTCCTCCTGAAAGGAGTAAGTCACTTAAGTATACAATAACTCACTGTATTTTTTGGCTAGTTTACTTGGATAAACATACGACAACCTTTCATTCTTCAGTGATTGTTGCAAACAGCATATAACGTGGTGCAAGTTGTCACAGTTTGCATCATAGTAACATTGAAAGCAGTATCAGTGCTAGTGGTAACTCAACCATAGATTACAACTATCTTATAAATCCTAACCAAAAAGTTTGCTTCTTATCAAACAATTCAGTTCACTAACCTGTGTCTCTCTAAATTAATGAAGTAATTGTGTCCAAATTTTACACCTTTTTTCAACCTACTTCTATACTTGTGTTATGGCCCAAAGCCACCAATCAGAAGCGAGCAGCCTAAAGTCCTGATTGGTCCTGCTTTCCGTCTAACCCAGCCAGTTGAGTCCAGAACGCCAGTCTCAGCCTCTGCAATATGAATCCTTATATTTCAAACATACTGAGTTCATATACCGATCAAACAGACAACAACGTAGCATAAAAATAGAAAATAACATTTGTACAAATTTTGGCCAAATGTGGCTGTGAATGTGGGAGACCGTGACTAATAGACAGGGCATAATTCAAGAATGGTAAAACGTATAATAATGGTTCATAGATCAAAATAAAGTTTATAATAAGAGGAATATGAATAGTTTAGTTATTTAACAATTATATGATAAAATATACGTTTAGTATTGGTCCATAAAGGATCCCAAAGTTACCATTCATTATGTTTATCGGGACCTGACAACTTGATAGCGAAACACTCCAGTGCATGCAGTGATTGTGCGTGTACAACATATTATTATTATTATTATTATTATTATTATTATTATTATTATTATTATTATTATTATTATTATTATTATCAGCTTTATTCAATATTATATTTTTGGTACAATATAGAATTCTCAGCGTAAAGTATTTCAACAGGTTTCCGTTTCTTTCTTCTTGGTCGGTCCTGACGATAAATATTTAGTGATCGCCAGCTAGATGTTAGTAGTTCAGTAAATGAACATCTGAATAATGTGCATTCTTTTCGTTGTATATTGCCAGCAACCACATTGTCTCTTATTGAGTTTTTTGTAACTTTGACAACGAAAGGTTGTACAGTTTTCAGAAACGCAGCAGAATAGGTTATGCGAATAATAAACATAATGATATAATAAAACAAACAAAAATAGATAACTTGTTGAAATATCTAGATGGCAGGAACAGGTAGCCCAGATGCTCAAGCAGGCCGCCTCAACCACTTAAACCAAGAAAGTTTTACTAACTTATGCTAGTTATATCTTGATGCTCCAGTGTGCCAAACATTTCTATGTTATGAATATAACAAAGACATATGAATTTTTTAAATCTAGGTTATGTGTTTTACTGTTTCATATATGCTGGTTAGTCGATGGTTGATTCAGTGAAATGCATTAGTTAGAGATTTTCTGGTTCAAAGTCTGATTTTAAGTACTCTCATGTCTAAGAGTGCTCCATTAAGCCAATTCAATTAAACGTTCTTGATATATATGACAACTGATTCTGCTTGTATTATTAGGAATATTTAGTGTTTTTTGCTAGTGAATAATTCAAAGTTTTTTGTAAATGCTCACCATAATGAAAATGCTTAAACTATCCACCTACATATATGTAGTCAGTAGATAGATAAACAGTAATGTTTATTTAAGAGATGAAGAGGCTGACGGGGAGTTGTTCATAACCTTTACAATGGCGATAAATTTATGGTTCACGTTCTTCAACAGGCAATCTCAGAGTGATACAACACAACTTGACAGATCTCAAATAATCTCGCCAGTCCCCTGGTAGAAATTTTATTCTCATGATTGAAAAGAGCCCACTGTGGTTTTTGCAATATGTGACGCTTTAAAATTTGGAATTTCTCCAGGATCTCTCTAAAATCGAATAAGGCTTTCTTAAAAGATGTTACAAGCACGCGGTCGTATTAGACTATTTTAAAGGGAGAATTAAACTTTCCATACTATCGGCTGTATCAGGGCATCTGTTGACAGTTCTTTTGATACAGTTGGTGCATTAAAAAAATCAAAACTCAATCTTTGTTTATATTTTACTTATTTCAGGCCCTAGTATTTATCTGATTGTAGGCGTTTTAATGCTGTTTGGGTTATGGTTTACATCCATGCTGACCATTTGCTTTGTTCGTATTCTTTTAAAACCTGGAAAATCAACTCTTAAACATGATGGTTTATTAAAGAGTCAAAAGATTCTACAAGCACTTGAGAAAAAGTTAGTTTTGTATTGGTATACGTAACAGAGTTTCCTTACACACATCTATTCTATGATTATTAGTTTTCGATTCATTCTATTTGTTTTTTGATATCCTTGTTATTATTTATTTATTTATTTGAACACATAAATATTTGCACAGAGGGGCACCAAATACAACAGCAATGAGAATGTGAAGAGATAAAAAAATGTAAGGTGCGTATGAGAAAAAGGGGAACAATAACGAACAGAAATAGGTGTATGACAGTAAAATAATAATGGAGAATCAATTCAGTTAGCAAAGGTACAACCAGAAAGAATTCTTCCAGTTAAATAAGTTACGTCCATTTTTTATGGACCGTATCTGATAACGTCTCTAGCCAGTGTTACACCATCTCTAGGACCCCCCCCCAGCCAGGTAGTTGTGAAGGACCAACAGAAGCCAGTCCTCAACAGTTTTCTTTCACACCACGGCCCCATGTTATATACTAACCACCTATCCGCCTTTCCGAACCCTTCCCAGCCTTGACAAATAATACACGATATGGAATACTTTGGGACGACATTTGTAGAACATGTCCAAGCCACCGAAGTCTATGTTTCAAGAGAGTGACTAATTTAATTATCGTCGCTGTGCTCGAACACACGATTCCGAACTTCTGCATTACTAACATGGTGTCGCCACTGGATGTCAGCAATCCTTCGGAGATAACGATGATCCAACACAGTGAGTCGTCTAACATCCTCAACTTTGAGAGGCTAGGTTTCACAAGCATAGAGCAAGACTGCTCCCACCGACGCGTTGTAGATCCGACCTTTTACAACCAGACTGACATCACGAAGGCGCCAAAGATGGCCCAGATTGACATAAACCGCTCTGGCTTTCGCTATACGTGCATTGGTCTCATCACTCACGCCACCACCAACACTTATGCAGCTACTTAGATACACGAACTTCTTGACTATTTCTATCTGCTCACTACCCAGGATGAGTACAGGATCAGGGTCCTACCAGTCTTGTAGAAGTACTTTGCACCTCTAAGATGCAAAGCATATACCATACCTACGGACACTGATTGCCAACTGATTAAGTGCGGATTGCATGGCTTGGGCATTATCGCACAGTAAGACAATATCGTCCGCATACTCAAGGTCGAGAAGTCTTTATCCAGGTAAGAGATCCACATAAGTAATTATTTTCATTTCATTTTATTTGTGTGTGGTCTGTGATACTGCCCGGGTGCCCAGACCGAGGCAGGTTGTTTTCTTGGGGGGGGGCACACCCGAATCCTTTGACCTAAAGGTCTAATCCACAAGGCAGTGGAGCAACGTAGAGAGGTCCAGTCCCATGGTAGTTGGTGACCAGCAATTGGTTCATGCTCCATTTGTTCCTTCAGGATACTGGAACCCATGTGCATTATTGGTTGAGAATCAGGTTTTCCCAACTCCCCTAGGTAAACTCTATGTATCTACCAACCCGGGTAAAGCTCCGATTATTCGCTTTTGGTCCTCTCAGTTTCGTAAACAACAGTAATTTCGCGAGAAGGCAGTGAGTAGGACTTCCCTGACAGTGGTTGTATGCATGTGGCCATGTGAGAGCATTTCGAGAGGGAGAGTGGACTCTACTCACCCTTGGCCGTACCAGGGCATTTGGGGGCATATCTTTGGTAGCGTCCAATAAAGTTTCGTGACCTTTTAATTATTATGAAGGGTTCTGAGTTTGGTATGAGAAAGTTTAGGTTGCTAAAATAGTGAATAGAATGTCTATCAATAGATGTCACGACCGATAGCTAATTATGAGGTTGATGTGTTTTGATACCATTCTCTAAATTGTAGGTCAGTATAACTGGCGGAAAAAAAGTCCTTAAAATAAAGGTAAGACACTTATAAACAAAATTTTAACACAAAATGAACATTATTACATGTTAACTCACTTGGTATTGTTTGCTTGTATCTTCCCATTGTTGTTTAGAACTGCAATTGACCAGTCTCTTGTTGACATATGTGCATCCTATGCGGACTGCTTCGTTATTACCTTAAATCACAAGTCTTATGAGCAACGTTAAAAAACGTGGAATTTATTCCTTTTTATAACTTTCTATTTCTCACTGATTATACGCTCTCTTGTTTATTCATTGTCTATGCATTTAGGTGCTTTTTCCTTCTTTTTCTCTGTTTATCTATTAGCTTATCCCATCAGGTAGAAACTTATGATTTAAAATCGCTTAATGTTATTAGTTCATATGACAATAATGATAATTCAGATCATGTAAGTTTATTTTACTTGAGGTTTTGCATAAATAACTCAAATAATCAGATAAGATTTTGTATATTCACTTCCTTTTTACTTTGTTATAGTTGTATGTAGATGGATTAGTGTACATAGCTCAAGTTGATTACATTTATGGTTAACAGTATCGAAAACTAAACATAGAGATAAACATGGAGATAGTGTGAAACAATTGACATGAGTGTAAATAACTGGATTACAATAATAACTATATATATATATATATATATATATATATATATATATATATATATATATGCTAGAAACAGGTCAGAAGTAAAAAAAGGGGTTAATTCAGGTTGGGTGCTATAATAGTTTAGTGAAGTTCATAAATTGTGTGAAACAAACGAAGATCGACAAGTCCTCTCCCCTCAGTTGCTCCAACTGCATTTACCGATTCACATGTACGTGCCGTAGCACATACATTGAATCCGCTGTTCATCTTGTTGTGCTAATGAGGTATGGCAACCTGGACCGATGCACATATGTGCCTGGTCCTACGTTGTAGCTGACTGACTGACATTGGAAGAACTGAGAGAAGAGTACAGGTTCGCATTTCTGAGCATATTCCGTAGAACTTGACGCTGCAAGGGACTAAAGCTTTCAACAGTGCAATAGCTCGGCATCTACTTGACACCGGGCATACCGTCGATATTCTGCACGCGTTTAAAATTATCAATAAACAAAGAAGTTCTACCACTCTCCACTTTGCTGAAGCCATTGCAATTAAGAAACTGAATCGGATTTATGCATTCAAAAAGAGACTTTAATAAACTTATCACTACCCTGGTAATCTCTTTTGTTTCCGTTTGTTTTTTTTGTGTTTTGGTTATTTGGTTATTTTATTCATTTACTTATTTTAAGATATTTTATACTCCCCCTTATTACCTAATTCTTAAACTAAAATTTTATTCACACATTTCCACCACCTGATCCTCTTAAATTATCTTAACTTTTCAAATTCTATTTAATTATTATTACGTAATCTACATTATCATTATTCAATCCCATTAATCTCTCTAATTATCACACAATTTATGAACTTCATTAAACTATTATACCACCCAACCTGAATTAACCCCTTTTTTTACTTCTGACCTGTTTCTAGCATATATATAGTTATTATTGTAATCCAGTTATTTACACTCATGTCAATTGTTTCACACTATCTCCATGTAAAAAATTCTATCACAATTTCGGTTTGTAAGCAGCTGAAGAGAAACCTCGAAATAATATGAATTCATACTATTCTGCATCAATGTTTGTTCTTGCTCTATTTAAATTCATAAAGGGAACCAATTGCATAAACATAGTGAAGATGTTTCGGTGAAGAAAAAAATTTTTTCACCGGTATTCACTACATCTGTACGATTGTATTTATAGCGGTCATTATTACTTTTTTTCAGTTTTTTCTTGGCATGTGCTTGCTTTTTCTTTATTTTCCTAACCTCTTCAAGTGGATAATTATTTTTCACATATCTGTTCTATATCTTGGTTGAACACGTGTTTATTCATATTCTTATCTTCTCTATAACCTTCGAGGGTATAATTCATTTTTCGTTCCTATATATTATTTTATACCTATTGCGTAACTTTAAATTCTGTTTGTCTTTCAGTACCTCTGTTATTGATGTAATAATTCTCTATTTTTATTATTGGCCATCGTATTTAAAAATATAACTATAAATACCATTGTACAGGACTGATAAATGATATTTTCGGAGTGAAATTTTTCTTCTCTGAAATGTCTTCACTTAGTTTAAAAGTTCAATAGGTTTTTTTCGTTGTTTTAAATATCAGAAATTTATGGAATAAATAAATATCTGATGTCAGTTTGTAGTGAAATCCCTAACTCGGAATCTTATTCTTAGTATTTTAAATTACTTATTTCCATTTGATGCTTTTTGATTGGCTTAATAGGCCAAGAATTCGTTAATGCTGTTTAACGAGTCGCTCAATGATCTTATAGTTGAGTTGTAACGTAATTATTGGCATATCTTTTACCGTTCGAATAATTGAAGACTTGTTATCCTCTTTTTGAATTTTATTACTGCTGGTACATTATGTTCTTGTATTATTTGCACTAATAGCCTAAATAACCATATAGATAAAAGAAAAGCTCTTGTGACCATTCACTTAACTTTCAAGTGGTATCATTGAATGTTTGAGTTGCCCAACAAATATGTGGAGAATGCAACAATATAATAACAATATTAATTACGTTGTAGGTGGGAACGTAGTGTTAACATTGACTCGTCAACTACATATCTATATGTTCATACTGTTCTCTGTTTACTACTGTGCACGTGATTTGATCGTATTTTTCATTTTTCATAAAAAAATAGGTATGACTTACATCAAAGTTATATTTCATTATATAAAGATGAAATCTCTTTTGTCTTTGTGTGCAGAAACTTGTTTTTCAATCCCTTTGATATACAATTTTGCAGTCACATTTGAAACGTTTTTGTGTTGATACCTAAAAGCTTTAAATATTTCTGTACACAAATCCTGAAGTATTATAAGTACTATATGATTATATCATTAAGATTGAAAAGGTTTAATTTTATACTTTGAAGATAATTTTTTTGCTTGCATACTGTTTATAAAAGTGGTTTCGGAATATTTCCCTTTAGAGTAATAAAATCTTAATTCTTGTCTTAAGCTAAATTGGAATGAAGTCAACAAAATTCTTGGCCAGTCGAAAATCAATATGTTTTTCTCCAATACTCAGTTATCAGCACTTGTTAGTTTGCTTCACGAAAGTTACATTATAGAAACAAAATATCTATTAGAAAAAATCAGTGGAACTGCTCAAAAGCTTTCAGTTGCCGAAGATCTAGTAAGTAACCGCTATTTTTCCAGAATTTGCTTTTTAAGGTATCTGAAATGTCATCTAGATGAGTGTAGGTGTACGAAACTTGACTCATAGAAGCAGAAGACTTGTATTTTTTTAGTTTTGGATTACAGGTATTTATGCAGAATTGTTCGCTATAATTAGAGCACCGAATTAGTAATTTGGGGTAGGCATAATATTTTAGAAAGTAATGTTAAGTCGATTATCGTGGTTATAAGCCCTTATCAAATTGTAGTTGTTGCATGTTTAATTGCTGTTTCACTGTCAACTTGGATTACTAGTTACCGTAGACGTAGTTTAGAAGAAAGCAAAGTCATAAAAGCTCATCCATTTACTCGAACCTCTGTATTGAAAAGTGTTGTTCCTTTCACAATGAAAGTGTTTTAGTGAAAAATTTTATTACTAAATGTCTTCAGCACCGTCTACCAAATACATAAAATCTTTTCATATGCATCCTTTCACTATGTTTCATATGGAAATACAAAGCGTTTAAATGTGTGCTACATGACATTAACTTATTCAGTTATAAAAGTTCTGGTTATTTCCCATTCTTCGTAGCACGCAGTAAATGATAAAGCTGATTTTATCTGATTATCAATGTACTTATTTAGTGTACTTTTGTTTTGTTAGTAAAATATACAGAGATATTTTTGCTGTGACTTAATAGTTCTTTTAAATAATAGTTCGTTTTTCGTCTATATAGGTTAAATTTAATATAGTCTCAGTGGTTGTCATTCTTCTTTCAACCATTGTGTTAAAGTTATGAAACATTTCTATCCTAACAAGATTTAAGTATCGTGGTAGTATCGTTATCAATTACTTAATAAGAACTTGATTGAATGCTGAAATAATAAAGAATGTATAGCAGTTTTTCTGTGTTGGTTTTATCTATGTTATGATCTGTGAGTTTTTATGTATGTTCTTTAAACTGACGATTTAAGTTAGGTATGATTCAAAGTTCACACTTATTTATCGTTCGAAATCTGTAGATGATACATTTAGAATGTTGAATGGGATTATATAATAGTGTTCAAAGTCGGAGGTTTCATGCTATCATTAAGGTTATAGTCTAACTTCTGTCTAATCTCTAGTATTCATCAATAGTGTATCTTTTATCTTTTTATTTGTTCTTTTTAATGTCAGTATATCAAAACACAAACCAAGAAATGTCTGTTAATATTTCCATGTTACAGCAAGAAATGTATAGATAAAGAAATGTATATGGTAATGAATAGAGTAAAGTAAGTGTAGCCTTAAACTTATCATGATATTGCGAATTATTTATGCCACATCATTTCCATCTGTTTAATATTAACATCTGAACTTTAAATTGTAAAATGTTCAAGACCCCATACTTATCGTGCGAATTATTAGTGTGCCTTAATTTGACCACACATATTGGAAAGTAGAGTCATTTTATTAATTTAGCAGACTAAATTCGAATTTTCACATTTTTCTTTTTCTACTCAATAATCATGCTTAAACTTACTAATCTCATTATTTGCCAGGATATATTTCATTATTGTAAGCTTATTTTTTCGTTATCTTATCATTATGCTAATACAATGAATATGTTTATTGTACAATGACATGCGCGAATTATAATATACTGACAAGTTGTCTATCTATTAACTTGAAATCAAGCTCACAATACAATTAGAGTTATTTGTCCTTTGTAATTGCAGTAAAGACTGGATATATAAGGTTTATTACAGCTCCACAACTATCTCCGGTATATTTTCTGTATTTTTTCTCTGAGGAAGTGGCTTACATTAGGTCACAAAACTTCAGAAATACAATTTCTTCACTCATTATGATACAACAACAAAATATTATTATATGTGGTATATTTTAGAAACAAGTACCTGAGGAATGTTGTAATCACAGTTAGGCACCGGATCATCTACTCTATATCGATTGATAATTCTTTTGGTTTATTAAACTCTTAAAGATATATTTTAATTATCTGACCATTGTAAATAAAGGAGTTGTTGTTCATTACCGTATGCATTCGACTTCAGTCATTATGTCACTTACTCGAATTCTGCTTGATGTACCATTGTTTATGCAACAGATATTGACGGTTATAATTCATCGTGATTATTGAGTTGAGATTGATTGAATAAATTATTTATGATTATTGTGGTTTTGTTGTTGTCTGAAAGCTCCTAGATAAAGGAAAGACAGATGAAGTTTTACAGGATTCCCCCTCGTTTATTGGAGCATGCCAAATGTAGCCACTCCTGGCCTGTTTTGTCAATAAAATGTCTAATGGGACAGAATTCGCGATCAGATTTCAACTTCTTTCCTCCATCGAGGCAACAATATTTTTCCAGTTGTTGGATTCACGCCTAGGAGCGAAATATTTCAGGAATTATCGACTGCAACACTTTTTTGGGCTCCGTGGTATCGTTGATGTACGAGGAGAAGATCTGAAAACGTATATCGATCAAGCACAAAAATCGTCTGTATATTCCGTAGATAAACACAACACACTCTACTTTATCTGGACGTGCTTCCCGATACATTAAATATAAATAAAAACACTACAGTTATTTAAAAATTCATTTTTGACGGGAAGATTCTGTTGTTAACAAGATAACTTAATGGTAGAGGACATCAGGAAAACCTCTGCAAATCCAGATGAGACCCAGCTTCAGAAGGAAGGATTCGGGAAGTGTATTTTCACGAGAGTCCTAACCAAGCCAACCTAGAAAATGATTTTTCAAAATCATCATTTTGAATTTCGGCCAAGAGTCATTAGTAGCTATGGTTCAAATTCATCTGAAAATTACTTGGCTTGCTATTCTGAGTTGTACAACATGAGTTACTCTTTTGTTATTGTACAATTAGTTAAGTATTTAATTGGTAGTCAAATTTTTGACTTAAACTCCTTCGTCTTGGTAACTGCGCCAAGTAGGGTTCTCAATTCGATACAAATATGTTAATTATTAATAACTTCCGCTCAGTTATTACTTCTACTACTTTCTTCTTATTTTAATGATCACATTTACAACTTCACAGGACTACAGTGCTAAACCAGTAGAGACAGTACTCATTACGATTTCTTATAGATATATACTGTAAGCCTTATTTTTGTAAGACGGTTATGTGGTTGTTAGCCTATGGGTGGCACGGTATGTTGTTTATTGATTCAGTTTACACAGAATTTTATCGTTCTGTTTTCCCATTTTGATTAAACTTTTTGTGTAACTGTATACTAGTTTAATATACTTTAGCTATCTTTCTGATTGTTTATGTTTATTGTCATTCTTTTTCTAGAAATAAGGTTTCCGATCTAAAACATGAAGTAATAACTCATAACAGACGATGGCGTTGCATTTTAGCGGTTTTACATAACTCATGTACTAGTTTTGCTGGGTTCTATAATGTAAATGATATTTCAACCAGTTCAGACTCTTTCAAAACAACCTTCGAATGTAAGGAGTCAGAAAATCCTGAACAAGTTCAGTCATTTTTTAAAGATACTTGTGACAGTAAAAACGAAAGTCATGAGAAGTTGGATAATTTCGCTACCGAATTTTTCGAAAGTAAGCTAATTTCTTTCCGAAACAATATGGTGTTACTACACAAAATTTAAAACTGTTTACAATATAATTTTCTGCGTCATATAATAACTGTCTTAGTCAGCTTCAGTGTAAGTAAACGTTTTTATATGATTTTTATAAACCAACTTTCGTATATCTCGTCTAATTTTCTTGGTTTCTTAAGTATGGATTTGATACTCAGTTTTGGTGCTCTTGTAAAAATAGGTTACGCAACATTATATTTTCAAGTAATATATGTATATCGATAGATATTGTAGTTAAATATTAAAAACAAAACAGAAATTTTAGTATAATATTATTCCGTTCTTTGGATTTTATGTTAGAATAAAGCCAACAATTTGTTATAATGTATCTTATTGATCCAAATACTTCATGTTTAATCATTGGAATGCACCTTTCATTTGGATAGTAAGTTTAGTTGAAAGCAAAGTACTAGAATGTTTGTTACTTTACTGACTTGTACTATTAATTTAATAAATTTTCGCCAAAATTGATCAATGGTTTTGTTTATTGACAATGTGTGGCACATGCTCAATATAGATCGACTTCTGTGTGCTCCATAATCTTAGTTTTCGACCTGTAAATCATTTTCTAAATAATGAATAAGTCAAATTAGTTTGTGATGTACAGTGATGCTTCTGTTGCGGTGCTAGTCACATTGTCTGTTCAGCTGTTTGTTGAGTTGATAAGTTTTTGACTCGACCTCCATTCGACCCAGTTCCTTTGACTATGTAGATTTCTTTAAAAAGAAGACTCTTTCGGATCGATTTTTCCAGAGTTGATATAATGCTCTTGTATTGATCTGGTAACTTTTGCATTTTCCTTCTAAAAGCCGTATCGGGTAATGTTCTGAGATTCGTTTAGGAGGTGATCGCTTTGTACGGCGCATATAACCTGCCCTACAGGAGTAAATAAATTTAAAAATTCTTTTTGACATGGTCCAATGTGGAAGGTTATCCTTAATGCATCCATGAATGGTAGGCCGGCTTGAGAAAACAATACGGAGTATAGCTGAATAGAACGTTTCATTCAGGGTTTTTGAAATCCGTTTTTTCTAGATTTCAGCAGCTGTATCTTGTTTAAATTATATATTCATAAAAAGTTTCTTTTCGAGCAGTCGGTGCGTCTTCAGAATGTATAGGTGTTAAGTTCCTATCGACCAATCGAGGTGGATAGTCATTTCTGATGAGTATCTTTCGAAATTGATGTATTTCGTCATCTATTGTGTCATTTGAACATATTCTCCTGATCCTTGAGGATAAAGAGTGAATAAGTTTCTCTCTCTACTCAATGGTCCCTAGCTATGGAAATTCGTATACTTTTTTGAAGTGTCCCCCTTGATACTTTCACATACAAATCTACCAAAGCTGGTATGTTATTGTAATTGTTTTCAAGAGTTGTCTAGTAACTAAAATAGCTGTTTGAAACAAAACACAAAATTACAGTACGATTTTTGCTACTGTTTCTTTTGTGTGGTTTTCTCTTTCCAGTATTTTTGCAATTTTAGCTGGTTTGTATACATAATTTGGTGTTAGAGAACTCCTAATTGAAAAGAGGTTGTACTTTAAATGACAAGTCTAATCATCGCGCTTAAATTATTAAATAGACAGTATGTATTATTCCAGATAACATGTTTCTGCAAACATAATAAATCACTTAGAAAATAGTGATAAATTTAAGCTGTACTTATTTGATTGATAATAGTCCTCTACTAACTAATGAAGGAAGTACGTAAGCAACGAAATAATACATTGCTTTATCACATATAAATAAGCTATTCTTAACTGGTTGTGTGAACGTTTGATATTCGAATACTACCTATCACTGAAAAATATTTCTATTCAGTTTTTAAAAGTTCTTTTCTTTAAAGCCCCCAATTTCTTTTGACTAACCGGCGTCATTTATTTGTTTATGGATGAACGCTTTCCTTTAGATAAAAATAAATTCATTTCACCTGGTGAGAACGAATCAGTCACTGGGATGTGTAATATTGATGAGGATTTTCCTGGGTATCCCAGAAATATATCGATAAATGATGTTCCTGATTCTTATGGGTTAGTTATTTCTTATGTTTGTTACAAAATAATACAGTTTGTTGTGGAAAGGTGGAACCTTTGTAAACTTTATCTGTTTACTCGATCCATTGTGAAGTAGTATATGTTGTTGCTATTAAAATATAAATTTTAACAACTATTGACTGTCAACCGAATCCATCGATTGAAGTACTTAAAATTCTCAATAATTACCTATTTTCACCAAGGTTTGATATTTATATCCGAAATTATCTTTTTCTGTTCAGTTTTCAGAGATTTTTTGGCCATTTCAATGAATTTGGAAGAAATTATATATATATATATATATATATATATATATATATATATATATATATATATTTGATCACTTACAAAATGCATCAACTCATTTTGTGAAAGTTAAATTTTCTTATATGTAATTGAGCTTTAGTTAAATCGTTTACTAATAACTCATTTCAATGAGTTACCTGCTCATGTTTGCTTGTACATGTTTCGTAAATACAAGCTTTATCGCTTTCTGTACCTAGTTATAAACCATTCGATATATAAGTGATTATGACGATAAACTGTCAATCAGATTAAAGTATCCAAAGCAACTCGATGCGTTTATGACTGTGATTACTTCTATGTGTGAAGCACTACATATTTGTTGCTTTCAGTAATGATGGCCTTCATTCCATGTATCCTTACTCGATCGATTACAGGTTCACGTATTCGGTTTTCAGCCACATTTAATATATCATCACTCAGCTTTCTAAATCGAAATAACGTGTCATAACGATCGAACCTGAAAACCAGTAATTGGATGTCGAATCTTCTAATCACTAAATGCCTGATGCTTACATATTTTTCATACTTTTAAACTCGGGAAATATACTATACACGTGATAGTTATATTTGTGTTGCTAGGCTTATTTGTGGTTACACTCTCTATTTCAGTGATAATCCACAGATGGTCGATGCAAATAAACAAAACTACTCTAATCTACATTCTACAAAAATTCCTACTTTCATCCATTTTTCGCTTTCATCTCAGAAAACATCTAGAAAGTGGAAGTCTGGTTGTGTTCAAAAGAAGCATATTTTCCAGCATGTAGTAAGTAAATATTGACTAGGAAATCTTTATCTTTCAGTCATTTTCACAAACGTAAGCTCCTGACACTACATATTGTACTTACCTCATTTTTCTGATACCTACTTTGAAAGTTAATCAAAGTTTACGTTTGTTAGACATAACCTAATTAAATTCAAACAGCGCATATTCGTGAGTATTTAAAAATTGGCCTTAGACCACATACTTTGAGTTGGACAGAATTTAATTTTTAAATGGATCAGTAGTCTTCATTATTACCTGCTGCCTAACAATAATCTATCTTTCAATTTTTATTACGATATCACTTGTCAAGATATGCAAAAACTTGAAATTTACTTTTGCCTCATTCAGAATGCTAGTAAATAATTGAACAAAATAAGTGGTGAGAGTTCGCAAACCATTTAGAATCATCTAAACATATGCCCGATTTTCTCACTTCCTAGCCATCATTATCAACTTTAGGCTTAGTATTTTAAACAAATTGAGCATTGGATAGAATTTTAGTTACAGAATAATGGAAATTTTGTATTATACCAATGCGTAAAAATTAGAACTGCTGATGTTTCATAAAGAAATAGCAGACTCCTCATCATGAAATGTCAGAAGTTCTGATTTTACTCATTGGGTTATCACAAATATATCAGTATGTTTCGATTTACTTTACCTTCACGCTTTTAACTCTACTGTTTTTTATTTCGCTAACTTTCTTTTTATAGTATGGAAGCGGATTATCTGCTCTTTCAACCAAACACCGCTCTGGCAATATTTCTCAAAATGGGAAATTAAGAATACCGTTTGAAGGTTTTACTAACACTACTAACCCTGCCGATGGAATACGAAAACCCGAGTCAATTAAACTTTAACTTTACTTTTTATCCTAGTTTTCTCGTGAACTTCTCGCTTTTATTCTTCAAGCTATGTTATTATCTAATTAATAATTTGTCAGGGTGCTTTAATAAGTAACTTATTCAATATAAAGATAGTGTTGTACATTCCTGTTGTAAAAACACAACTCTTACATTCAGACAGTTGAAAACACAAGCGTGGTCACTAATCTGCAATTTTATTGGGTTGGCACAAGAATGGTATGGCCGTTAACGTGGAGCTTAGAGGACCAAGTCTTGTCGTTACCAACAGTTATAGTCATGCCTTATTTGGAGTCAGTAGGACACTGCTGGGTCATAAACCCATGAGTGTATCATAGTGTATGTGGCCCTGCCCGTGGGGATTGTATTATTTTAAATTCTTTTAGTTCGATAACATTCAGTACAGTAAGTCATTTTGTTAGACAGGACAATGTGGTAGTCCAGTTACACATCTTAGGCTTACAATTGTCACACTATTACAGTAACAGGTTTACTGAAACAAGGTAAAATAAGTTATTCTGAACAACGGACAGGTCGTTTATGAGTGACTCATATGCAGTTGTGTAACACGCAGACTCTGTGCCCAGTCTGAACAGATGAGATTTAAGAACTAAATACTTCAGACGATCAAGCCTGTGCTATACAAACAATCTAATACAGTACACGGGAACTTGTCAGACTGCGAAGGGTGTTGATTGCTCGAAACCGGAGAATAAATAAATGTGACTAAGTGCCTGCACATATTCCAGCAAACTTCCCAAGCAGACAGTCAACGGTTAGTAAGTGGACTTTGCGTAAGTTTGATTTCAGTCAAACATGACCCCTTTTGCAATGGTCCAGTAATATCTCGAAGCAATATTACGCGAAACAAGTGAATCTTTGACCACAGTCAAATGATAAAGTTTCTGACAAAAAAGACCAACGCTTAATAAAATACGGTTACAAGAGACATGAATAAAAATTGAACACTAGGCTGAGCATAGTATAAAGCGATAACAAGTGCATCCAGTAAAACACTCGTAAGGGGTTTTCAGCGATTTCTTTTTGTTACAGTAAGGATAAAATAGCAATACAGACGTTTTCAAACTTGGCTAGAGATGCCTCAGGTATTCGGAGTTTGATAATGCTTTTGCACGTGACGCCATGATCGAAGTATATCAACACACTCAAATCAGAAATGAAGGTATCCAAAGATACACTTTGGGGCTATCAATATGTCGAGAAACGTTCGGTCTAAGCAAGGGATTGTGGCACAGCCTAACCACTCGTGATCTAGTGGAGATGTGTGATCGAGGGGCTTCAACTAGGTGTGCTCGATAAACCTAGTAAAGTTGACATCAATGTCGAGGACACGGAATGATATGTTTGTGATTTACTTGTGACCAAAGTCATAACATTTTATCTCGTTTGTAATCATTTAGACCTACAAACGTTTCTACCTCCCTTTATTGTTTTAATAAATAAAAGAATACCTTTATTATTGGTTTCAGGCTCGGACGTTTATAGAAGTATTAAGATTACTCGAACATTCGGGTTGCTAATTTCAGTGTTCATATGATCTCGTCACGTGTCTGATTCGAATTTTCCATCAAATGAAATATTCTTCGTGACATTAACTATGAGATTTTCCGTGAATTAAATATGATTTACTGAGTCTGAATTTTCGAGTCATTTTTAAGATAATTTACGTTGATACACGTATGTTGTTTGTATACAAATGTATTAAGGTTTTTTGTGTCTATTGAAGTCAGATTTTTTATTGTTGTTATTCACAATTGTGTAGTGGTTTATTTTTATCAACAGAACGCGATTGGTGCGATAGAAATAGTTACTATTATAACCGATTGTACCAGGGATCGTTTAACTGTACTAAGAACATACATTCTTCCATTGATTATCACCTAACACGAACTCGGTTACCCTCAATAACCACACTTATACTCATTTGGAACGTTCTCGGTATTCCTTCAGTGCCACGAGGTCTCCAACAAATACATCTCGACTACAGCCATCAACTGCCTTCTGATATTTGGCCTACGGGGGATCTTATCGGCTAACTGGCACGTTGTTTTTTTGTAGTGGTGACCGTAGTCAACCGCGACTCGACGCCACACTACAGTTGTATACAAACCTCTGTATTTTGTGTGTTCGATTTCCATCACCTCTCAAGCTTTAAAACACATTTTTCTGGAGAACAGTTTTGTTAGTGTTCTTCCTGTGAGATCACAAATCTATTCATAGCTCAAGTGAAACATCGTTGTGGTTAGACATTAACACCGTTGGATGCCAGCTCAGTGGTCTAATGGTTAAGTGCTCGCGCGCGAAGCCAGTAGGTCCTGGGTTCGAGCCCAGGGCGGTGCGGGTTCGTGGATGCGCACTGCTGAGGAGTCCCATACCAGGACGAAACGGCCGTCCAGTGCTTCCAGGTTTTCAATGGTGGTCTAGCTTCAACTGACTCATGATTCCAATCTGTGAAAATTTCTAAAAATCTCCACAAAACAAATTCTGATAATAAAAAAAACCACTATCAAGTTGGCTGTGTAAACATGCTGCTCTACAAACTGTCTAGTTATTCTTGAGGAGATTGAGCTGTTGAATATAGCTGAAAAACTGCTCTCAGACAAGCAGGCTGCAATATATTAGCAATTTTTTTGAAGAAATATGGAGTGTTATCACGAACCTAGCTTCGGATTTGAATGAGGCCATCAGGGTGGGCTCCATTAGAGAACCGAGAAACACTCACACAGTAGTAGGTATTATTTCAACTCAAAAGAAAAGGCACATTGAGAAGTAATAAACTATAGGCAGCACTGAGCTATTTGTATCCTGTTCCGGATGGACATTTCGACACAAAACAGTCTGCGGTGGAGCAGAGTAGTGTAGATGATGTGATCAAGAGAAATAAGTTAGATGATTTAATTATAATAACACACATAAAAAAATTAAGTAAACGGAATGCGAAATCTGCGTCCAACATGAAATCGGATTGGAGGGAGTAGATTTCATGAATTAAAATTATAAAACTCGTCGAGATAAGTCATTCATTTTTCATAAGTTAAGAGAATTTTCCGAAAAAGAGCCAAAAACTAGATTTGAACACTATCTCAGCCACATTATATCATTACTAATCTATCTACCCAGAGAAACAGTTTCCAGATTTAGCATTTCCAAACTTTACAGGATAGGATAAAAATAGATCCCGAAATTACTCACAAAAGCCACTTCTTAAAGATTACCTTTGCTTCAGCTGAAGAAATAAACCTGATTTTGTGAAACTCATGCAAACTGATTTGATCCGATATAATATGTACCTGAGTATCTCAGCACGGTTGGTTGTATTTAGAGACGATCAGCAGAAGTAGTAGCAAATAGGCGCCGCCTAAACGGTGAAAAACCTCGTATTTAGCATGTTCAAACTGTAAAAGTTCAGAGCAAAACAATTCTCAAACCACTCAGTTGGTAACAGAAGGCTCTTCGCAGAATTAAAGATTTGCTGTAAAAATGTTCACACCAACAAGATAAAATAGCATAGCTCAGGAAAATGGATGACATGAAAAACTACGATGTTCTTAATATTTCAGAGGTATGGTTAACTTCAGATGAGTAGGGTAGTAAAATTTAGTTAGTTGGGCTGATATACTAAATCGTTGTGGTGTTGAGGTTATCCTGTACACACAAAAATTCCTTAACCATACGAGTCGTCGAGACAGTGGCACATGATTCAGGAACATGTAAACTGGTTGACGGAAGGCCAGAATGTAAATTGCAAGGTCTTGAATTAGTTGTAGTACACCACAGACCAGAATGTGTAGTAAGTGAATTCCCTCTACGAATACGTAAGTTCTCTTGAAATAGAAGTAAAATCCTAATAGTAAAGGACTTAGATAAATCGTACAAACTTAGATGTGGGGTCATTAATAACACCATTTGATTGCAAATTGTGATAAACCAAAACTCCCCTAGCTTTATCTCAGTATATTAGTGATGTCAACAGACATGAATTACGAAGCCCATCGTCTCTCTTGGATCTAATAATCACATGGTGATTCCAGTCAAGTACCTTCACTTCGTTCTCTAGAGACAAATGATTATGCAAATTCGTGGCTAAGGTAGACTGTGAAATAGTCGCGACAACTAGTCCTAATACATTGAAGGCAGAGATGAAGGCAATCAACTTTGTTGCATAGGATCAAAACAGGATAATTGACTCAGGAGCATTAGTATAAGAGGTATCCGTGGAATTCGAAAACTCCTCGGTTCACCATACAGAAGGAAGCTTGAAATATTGAACTTTACCACTCTGTCTTATCGCCGATTAAGCTGACCTGATTTTAATGTAAAGAATACTAAGATTCTGAACTTAATGTATCGTCTCTTTTTATTCCCACTAGAAATACCCGTGGCATACAGGTATTCACACCGAGCCATCAAAAATTGGAACTTGTTACTCGAAGCAGTGGTTTCATGGTTCACCGTTATCTGAATAAAGCACACCCGATAACTGATCTCATGACCTGTTACGAGAATATCAAGTTGATTTGTAGTGGCATTGGATCCTAATCACACAATCCTCAAAGCTCAATACGAAATTACTCGGAAAATAGATATCCAACATTTAACGCGGAGAAATACGTAACGATGTAAAATGCGCGAACAAGGAGTTGAATGAATTGGAATTGACCGAATGGTATAGCTCGGCCTTGCAGGCGTGGTCCCTGCTGAATATTACTTTATATCTTTCATTCATATTAAATATATTGTTCTTTCTCTAGCTTAAGCTTGTTCTCCATCATGTATTCGTAGTTGTTACGATACAGTGAGTTGGTGTAGACGATGATGTGACTTCCACGTAAGATCTTATAGATTAGACGATTATATCATGACAAATCTACAATTTTAGCATCAGGTCTATTATTAGAGCAGTACTAATATCATAGTAGACCATAATTCTACAGATTTTCCTGTAACCCAATCTACATCGGTTTAAATTATAGTGTTCATGGATGGTGCAGTTGATTTTATAGGAATATCAAAATAGTGGTGAAGATGGCACAGGTATTCAGTGTTCGACAACGCTTTTACCAATAACACCTAATATAACTCGTACCCACCAAAAGAAATCAAAAGACAGAATCGAGGAGATCAGAAGTTGTATTTGACGACTGTCAATGTATCGGTATTGTCTGATCTAGTCTGGCTAACGATTGCAGTAGATGTTGAGCACGGCGTTCCCACACGTGATCTGGTGCGGATGCATGTCCGAGCGCCTTCAGCTAGGTGAGTCCATTAAAAAATGTGGTCAGCATCCATTGTCGAAAACTTATAGAGCTATTTATTTTGGGGATTTATTTACCGCTACAGTGGTACTGATTTTCCAAGGTATATTTGTATATTCATTGGAAAATAACATGTTTACTTCATCGGCAGATCATGTGTTACTTCAAACTATATTTTATAGGCATATTTGCGTCATATCTGTAGAACTATGGTCTACTATGATATTAGTGCTGCTCTAATAATAGACCTAATTATAAATTAGCAGATTCGTCATGATATAACTGCCTAATCTATAAGATCTTACGTGGAAGTCACACCATCGACTACACCAACTCACTGTATCGTATCAATTACCAACACATGATGTAGAACAAGGTTAGGCTAGAGAAAGAACAATATATTTAATATGAATAGAAGAAATAAGATAACATCCAGCAGGGACCACGCCTGCATAGCCGAGCCATGCCCTTCGATCAACTCTAATTCATTATTCGCGCCTTCTCCATCGTTACGCATTTCTCCGCGTTAAATATTGAATATCTATTTTCTGAGTAGTCTTGTGTTCAGCTTTGAAGATTGTGTGGTTATTGTCCAAAGCCACTACATATCCTCCTACTATGATAAAACATCAGCTTCGAATGTTTGGTAGAAAAACATAGAATGGAGAAGAAAAATTACCCAAGAATTTCTTTCAAACTATACCCTGCCTTGAATCGTCAATGCAAGGAGTTCAACAATAGTTCCCACTCTTTTATATTTCAGATGAACTCCAAGCGAGTAGCTTTTAACCTTGTAATAACATAGAAGATACCACATGTATTTGGAAGTGAGAACACCGACTATGATTCGTAAACATCAAATGCAATCAAAAGACAGAAGCGAGGAGGTTCAAAGACGTACTTGATAGGTTGGGAATATATTGAGGATCGACTGATCAAAGCTGGCTAGAGATTGCAGGTGATGTCGAGCACGGCGTTCCCACTTGTGCTCTGATGAGGATGCATGACCGAGAGCCTTAAGCTGGGCAAGTTCACTGAAACTAATATGGTCAGAATCCAACATTTATTTACCGCTACAACGTTAATGCATATTTCATAATGCAATGGTTTGTAAATTTCGTAATACAAAGTTCGTCGTTCAATATGTGTGTACACTTCTCAAAATTGTTGAAGGTCGTTCGTCTCGTTCTGAAAATAATCGCGAAAGGAGTAACACATCACATGGTTTATAATATATTTTTAACTTGAGCGTGCCAAAACAAGGAATCGTCGTCATTTATCCACAAGGTTCCAACTAAAACAGGTCGAGTAAATAGTGCTCTATATAAACTATATATATAATCATTTATATTATAAAAGACTATGATTTCCTGCTATTCAGGCAATCAGTAAATATAAGACGCTTGAGCTAAATCGCATGGAATATCTGCTCCTGATGTATGTATCGTGTCAAGTACCCAATGCATATTTAAGTTTGTGTAATGTGGCTAGATGACTTAAACCGCAGTAAGAGCGGAGAAAAATATTCTGCTCACGTTCAATTCTAGCAACAGATTTGTAAACTAAGTGTTCGTGACGTAATTGCACTACAGTTGATGTCAATTCGTCATGGGATACTTAATTCTAAAGTTAGCTAATTTGCAAAGCAAGTTCCTTAACTATTAATGCATAACCCTGACCGTTTTGTATTCTAGCTGCTGTCAGTTTCTGGCGAAAACTTTGTAATACTATGGTACGCACAACACTGTCCTAATATGTTGACTTCATTTCAATGTCATTTTGTTAAGTTTGACAACTTTTCGTGATTGTCTGATAAAGTGCTCAATCTCGTCAGTATATTTTATCCTTACCTTGATTCATATCGTTGCTGATTCAGCTTACATAGTATTCGGAAACTGTATTTCATAACCAATGAAACGTAACCGCTCGTAACTTAAGTACATTGCATCTGAACACAGCGCTACAACGCCACGTGTGTTAACGCTGGGTGATGACAACTCATATGAAATCATATTGAAGCTGACTGGCGGCATGGTTATGTGCTTAAAATATCATCACAGATGTTTTTATTTAATGCTTCGATTAACGACTCGAGCTTGAGATGAAAGCGGATGACCAGTTAGTCTGACTCAAGACCGCTTTTTGCAAAGACTAGTAGAATGGCATTCTTTAGACTGTCGCGACTCCCTGTCTAGGGCCCTGCAGGTTGTTTAATTCAGTGACTTGAGTCGTCTTTCAGATATTGCCTAAAATACAACTTTGATCCTTTACGTCCTTGATATAAGAAAAGTAAATAAACTTCTGCTTCGCACGAAAATAGGTCTGTCAGATATATATTTTTTGTATCTGCGTCTAGTTTAAAGCTAGTTTCTTAATACATTTTCGTAAGACATCCTGTGTATTGAGATCCCCACATAAGTGAGCATACTTGTTTCTATAATATCTTGAAATGAAAATATAAAATTACCGACAGAAAAAAATGGAAAAAGGATACCATGATAGTATTACAAAGTCGTAAATAAATCAAAATGTCCGGGAATATTAAGACCTGTGGGTAAAATAGGAGTTACGTTGCGTTATGCAACTACAAACATGCGTGGCTGCGACAAGTTTCACGTGTTCTAAAGAATTTAAAAGTCCATGGCAGGGCAGTTTATTCTGTATTGTTCTAGAGAATTGAGTTTCCTAAGACTATAAAAGTAAGGACGAATACAGAGAAACGCCTAACACAATACAAGCGAACCATGCCCGCATCTCTTACCCAGAAACTTCATAATGGTCCCAAAACGTTGTCCAGAAGAAAATTTAGCACATCCTTTGTCGTTTTACTCGAGAACGATTTTGTATCTTAAATGTTTTTATTTCAGACAAACTAAAATACTATCAGTTGATATCTATAAAACCTTGGCCTTTAACGAAATGGTTTTGTGCGCAATTTGTTCAATTGAAACTTCCAAGTACAAATGTCCGAGGTGTATTGCACCATAGTATGCTGAATTGTCAGTTCACTAATACTTTAGTTGCTCACTTGCCTGTTACCAAAAACATAAACAAAATGAGTGCAAACCGGAAACCTGTGTACCAAGGGTTGTGCATGCTACTGTCGAACGAGAGGATGAGATGGTCGACTATGTTCCGAAGAAAATTTTAGAAGGCTTAAGTAAGTGTTACTGTTAATTGTCATTCTTACGCAGAATACTCGGATAAAATTCGAGATCTACTGAAGAACCCTCATCTCCGGAGTCTGCTTCGATTTTTGAATGATACAAATAAACCGTACTCTGCATTGGAAAATGTTATGCGTGAACCTATTTTCGTCGAATTTTCAGATGAATGCCTTAAGATTGTAGACTCAAACTTATAGATCCAATATACTATTTCTAATATTTTTTTAAATAATTTCCCAATTGTTTTCAAATACAAAAACTTGAACATGGTTCATTCTCTTGTGACTGAATTGTTATGAAAGTTTTAATTGGTTAAGTGATTGTGCTGCTTTAACATCTACGCAGGATTTTGTGCTGCAGTAGCTTCATAACTAGTTCGTGATTTATTAAGGTCTGTCGAGTTTGATTTGCACATTTATATCACAAACAACAATCATTTGGAAAATATTTAAAAGTAGATCTTCGCGTATGATTTTCAGATAAGTTATCTGTTCATTGATGGATTAATTGATAGACAGTTGTATTACTACATTTTAGAAGTCTGGTTCGAATAGTTAAGTGCATTGAAATTGCCGAGACTGGATTTTTCTAAAAGTAAGTAGATAAGCAACATGATGGATATCCGCAAATTTTGGACGAACTATTAAAAGTTGAGAACATTTTACTGGTTATAAACTTAAAATTCAACGAACTGACCAATTTGAAGATTAAAAAACGTTCTGTTTAACTAATTAAGAAAACTCTTTGTACTTTATAAGTACACCAAGGTAATTGTTAGTTGCGATATTCTGTAAAGACGTATACACAGATAAAACCTCTAACATTCGTGAAATATCGATATTTGTATACGTGTTTTATTATCTGTCCAGTTGTACAGGTTAATGCAACGGCCTAGTCAAGTGTGTCAGTTCATTTAATAGTTCTATACAGATACCTGGACGGACATGAAGCCAGTCTCAAACCGCTCACTTTGTGTACAGAAATTCAAATCTTTATACTACTAACGTGAATCCCAATCCAGACAATAAGTTACTTTGTCATCGGTGCGATTGCAGCTATTAAAGTCGATCTTCAATCGCACTCCGGTTAAGCTCAAATAAATTTTATGAATTTTCCCGGTCTGTAACCGCAGATTTTGTCAAATATGACATTGACATCCACGGAATTATATCTATATAAGTTTAGTGTCTATTGAATTATAAAAAGCGAAGAAAAGCTTGTTTAAACTAAAAAAGATTTTCATTTTTTTTAAAAACTGACCCGAAAGAAATAAAATACTGGTATTCAAGAAAAAAAGTGAAAACCAAAACACTTCATATTACATAAATATTGAAAGCGGGAAACAAGTACATGAATCAAATCGTAAACAAATATTCTGGGAAACAACATTTCAAGAGACTGATAGAATACGAACTATACTTTATTCTACACACGCCATATACGAATGCTTCCATCGTGCGCTGAACTTAACAAACGATCGTCACTGAGCCAACATAATCCAGTGCTATTACTCATAGGATGAGCCGCTTAAAATAAAAAGAAATAATCACGTAGACGATTTTATCAATCCATAGAAATATTAATTACACCTGTTTGTCATGTTTTGTAACGAAATAATTCAGTCGATGAAGTCCCAGTTTTAAGCTTATTCTGAAAACACAAATGTTACTACTATAATCACTCGACGTTACGTTAATACATTAATGTGTACATTTTCCCTGGGATAACTGTATTAATTATTAGTTGTAGTACTAAGTGTATTATCATAAAAACGAATGAGTTAAGTCTTCTAGTTATAGCTGTGAACCAGACTCTGTGACGATTTAATGAGGTAGTTAGAACAGATGATGAATTCTAAGATAATGATTCCTACTACAATTTCTGTTAAGTTATTGAACATTACCCTCAACATTTCCAGTTTATTTCAAATGTTAATGCGTTACCTAAGACTCAGATCACTAGCCATCGATTCTCAATGACATTTGAATAGAGCAGAAGCAAGTAAAGCAAAGCAACGCATGGATCGAAAGTTGATAAATAACCGTAAACTGTCAACGGATTTAATTATGGTTACAGTTATGGAGATTTTTACTGACAAATTGTCAAGAGGTTTTAGCTTTCTTCTTAAGTTAAATTTATTAATTTTGTTAATTTTAACATTGATGTAAATTGTTTTGGAAACAAGCTCAACATTTGAGTGCAAACATGGACTTATACATTTCTTCTATTGCACTTAGTTTTACGTTGGCATAATTTTCAAGTATTCACAAACACGTACACAGATAATGAAACCATAACTAAAAATTCAACATCCTAATGTATATTTTACGACAACTGAATGATTACGATTTTAAAAAAAGATTAGAAGATATTAAATCAAAAAGAAAAACCAATTGATTATATAATCTTATCACGATCAATTAATATCTCAAAAAACATATTTCTTTACAATTGTAAAACTGACCTACTGTTGCCGGAAATATTGCTCATAAACATACTAAATTAATACAAGCAATTATACAGCTCATCAATAATTTACCGAAACGTTTTTTACAGAATTAATGTATCAACCATGTAAAATAATTAACTTTCCAAGTATTTAATATTCTAAGATATCAACTATCAAGTTGTGATTTTCCCAACATATGGAATACATGATGAAAACTACACAAATCATTCAATTCAATTATGACCAGTTTCTTTTAGTGAAAGATAAATTTGACGTGAAATCACTTACCTGTCAAAACCACCTGTTTTCTTGGTTCATCTAATGACCAAATAACAATAGAACTATCAATACTTCCAGTGGCCAAGCGACGACCATTTGGACTCCAACTGATACAGGTTATTCTAGCTGAGTGTCTGAGCCACCATTCAGAAAGAGCAGATTTAAGAGTTGGGAGGTCATTTTGATTTCCTTCACAAGTCACCTGGAAGAACAAAAGTAATGAAAGGAAATACATTTAATTAAAAATGAAATAAATCTCACATATCCCTTGCACATCTACATCACAGAGTAGTGTATCTTGTTTCCACATAAACTTTAAAGAAATATGTCTCAATAACTGATTATCCAATACTGAGAAGAAAGCAGAGGGATTCATGGAAAAGTGAAGTAAAATATTAAGACACTACTATTTTATAAAACAAATCTTATAATATATTATATAATCTGTAGAAGTTTATGACTGTATCCAGTGATTTAACAACGTTAGTGTAGTTTACTAGGGGTATTCACAAGTATTTTTGTGATTAAATAATTTATACAGTAGGATTCGTTGCTTATTTACTTTATTGACAAAGATGGAAAAGTGAATTCTATTTTTACTAGTGTATTTACTTTGTAAACATTTTTATTTCCGGTCTTTTTATGGTGCCTCAATGAGACAGAAGAGGTAAAATATAACTTTATGATAAATATATCTCGTAATTGTTCTAAAGTATTTTTTTTACTTTTTAAGTACCTCTACATTAGCAGAGCCTATCCCAATGTTATTTTAAAATGACCTTGTGGTATGGATTTCGGGTATAACTCATTCTTCACAATATTTTGTTGTTTTATTCATACACAACAATTGGCCGGTTTCCATTACACTGGAAAATCCTGAGAATTGAAGACTATTATGTTTTTTTTGTGGAAATTGTTTTCAGTCATAAATGATGAGATTCGCTTTAGAGCTTGAGGTACCTACTTTTTTTCAATACTTGCAATCTTCCCGTCCAGCTCAGGAAATATTAGTGGTGAAGCGAAGGTTCCTTACATACGACTAGTATTATCAAAATCTGATCTGATGATTATTCAATAAACAAGAAAATTATTTTCGTAAGTAGTTTGGTCCACCCGTAACGGGATCATGAAAACTGCTTTACAGAATATAGGGCATGTCAATCTTAATTCTTTTAAATAAGTTTAGTTGACAGCAGTAAGCTTGTCCTGTTTTCATTGACTTTGATTAAAATCTTCCCGTGTTTTTAACAAAACCTCCATCTACGTTGTCGTTTCTCTACTTCAAACAATTAGACTGAACAATGTGCATAGCGATCGTCACCAATATGAACAGTAAATAAGTTACTAAAGAGCACAAAAGACTGGACAGATGGAATGCTAACATTGAAAGTTGATACCAAATCTGACTTCGAATTATCCTTGTAATTCTCATTAGAAAATTCAATCTACTTGAAGTATCTTTTTCCCCAGTTAGTTATCACCATAAACAGATTTTAACACTGTATAAACTTCCTAAGAGTTGCTTCATGGACTTTACTGAAAACAGTAGTTCAGTTCGTGTATTCTTTACACAGACTATAAAGGACACGTGTAGCAAACGTTGGTGGTACACTTCAGTAATAGTTCAGTATTGAACTATCATACAATCTATATATAAGAATTATACAGTAGGGTTGTGTCAACATTGGGTCCTGAGCAATTAAAATAGTCCATTACAAATAGCTAACAAAACCACTAATGATCATTTTCATTTATACAATTAAAACTATTAACAATAGTACCTAAATTAGTGTAATTTTAAGAATTTATTGATTTATATCTACAGTACATCTATTTACTTGTAAATTAGCACGGAATGGGTTTTTTGGTTACAATGATATTTTCTATACATAAACAAAATAATGTAAAATTATTATTCAGTCATCCGACAATATTTCGTTCTTTAAAAAAAATGTGGTATCTTGAAAAATAAACGACCGTATTAAATCATTTATAATCATAGGGACTATAATAAACAAATTAATAATTTTTAAAGATGAAATTGAAAGTAGGAGTCATACAGATAAGCAATGTTAAACGTTGTTTGATAAGAGAGTAATTGGCAAGCATATTTTACAAGCACACATTTGCACAACAACAACAAAAAAAACTATGGTCTATATTACTTCTAAAAAAAAGATAACTATTTAGTAATGCAATGAACAGGAATTTAAATTTACTTGATATTGTTTACTTGAATCTTCCCACTGATGTTTAAGACTGCAACTGATCAGTCCTCTTATTGATACATGTGGATACCGTGTGTATTGCCTTAAGTTACAAGCATTATAAGCAAAGATTGATAGTGGCAAGCAGTAGAATCCAGGACGTGTTTCATCCTATTTCGGACTCGTCAAATGGATGTACCTGCATCCCATAAAAAACTGATCAATTGCAGTCCTAAAAATCAATGGGAAGATTCAAACAAACAATACAAAGTGAATTTAAACCTCATCCCATTACACAAGCAAGTGGCTATCAGGACTCAGTAGCTAAGTGGATAACATGATTGGATGATCTATTTAGTATACAGTTAACCGGAGAATCATGTACCTATTCATACTCGGTAATTTTGATGTTTGATTATATTCCCTTGAAAAAGCTTGGACCAGATTGCTGAGCGAAACTTTGGATTTACTTAAAATTCGATCACTAAGATCTTGCAAATAAATTCTTTTTCAGGGATGATCGTTAATCTGAATTACATTGCCGGTTGGCAATACCTGACTATATAAGAAATATAAAGACAAGTTGTTGATCCATAAAGAAAAAAAATAACGAGTGATATTCTAATTTTAAACCTAATACAACTCGACACATAAGGGATAAAATGAAGAGAATATAAACCATTCCCTAATAGGATATTTATAACATTTGAATGATAATAATGCTAAGGCATGACAAATTATGACAAAATGAATTACACATTATAACGTATTATCCAATGTATCTAAGCAATTGATTGCAAACTAGTATCCTGTATCATAAATCGTGTAGATAGATAATTGATTAAGAGTGATAAAAAAGAACATGATAAAACATTTCCTGGCATATAAAACTAAAATGAATAGATATACTTACGGAGTACAAGTTCATTGTACGATCTGGGTTTGCACAAGCTAGTATTTCACCATTAGGTGAGAAATCGATCAATTCTGGGGTTACATTGGTAGCACTGACAAGATTTAATTGTTTTAACTTTTGGTTTGATGATATACGAAACGATGTACTACCTAGATTCTGTTAGTTTTATCGAAAACAAAATTAAAAATATAAACAAAATCATAAAGAAGTTGGTTTAATTGCAGAAATCATTTATGTCCATGAACTAGTCAACGAAATATTGGTCAATAATGCGTAATAGATTAGTCCAGACATCTTGTAGTGAACGAACACTTAGGTGGGGATAACCGATTGATTGTTTAATGCAAAATTACGGATTGCTTTCGTAAAATATGAAAACTACATTAAATACATAATTCGCACATCTTCCAGCAGTTGTCTTTTACATGCTTCATGATCCTTTCCATTCAGTAGTTATGACAATTACTTTCTGTTTTCTTTAATTGAATCCTCACAACCTTCTGCAGGCATGCATTCCGATTGGTGATAGATACTGTTTATATCCGTCAATATACGTAGTATATACCACAATCTCAATTCAACAAGAGGTTGATTAAAGCCCAGATATTTCAGTAATAGTGCTTATAACTACGACAAATAATGATACAGTTGTAAGTCCCACGAGTAGAATCAGTTCCTTAATAATGCCTTGTACGCATTGCTGTCACATGACAAAAAACCTAACGTCTAGGGCTTTCATCAATGATTGCCTCCAATCGCCTAACATAGGTAAAAGGTGCAATGTGACATCAAGTCATCTGTTTCTATATCTACACCGTAGCTTGATAGATAGAATTCGGTCAGTACTAAGGACTAGAAAACATAAATTGGTGTTTTTGAAGCATGGCTTGTACATTTTGAGATGACCGAATGGGCAATGCTGAGGTTATGGATAGGGTTCTGGTAATGTTGGCAAATTAGTTGATGAAGCAGTAAATCTTCATCAACTGAGGTGATTGAGACATGTGTTATGTATCGCCAACCACCTCTTACCCCGATGGCCGATGTCTTGTGTAGGAGTATACTAGAGGAAACCGATGGAACACCAAACAAACACTTGGGACCAGTTCATGATGTCACTTAAAATTGGTATAACGATTGGAACCGATGCATACACATGTCAGGTTCTAAGTTGCACATGGAGGACTGACATAAACTGGTAACCATTTGGTAACCGATCAATCCATATTTCTGTAATGTAATGTATTTTTCATAATTCTAATAGAGTCGCTGTTCAGTTTGTTAAAGACAAATGGGTTATATAAACTTTAATAAACAACTTTATTAGCTAAAAAAATAAATGTCTATGCTACTTAATTTCAAATTTACGCATATATGACCTAGTTATCTCACAACGCACGATAAGGTTCACTTAACATATTTACAAAATACATTTGACATATCATAAAAATGTCGTATCTAGTCTGTATACTAAAGTTGGTTAATATTGAATAGAAGAGAGATTGACCATAATAATATGTTGCTCTACATAGAAAACACAGAGAATAATTCAACTTCCTAGAACAAAATCAAAAGCAATAATGAAATTATTTATATTAATAAAGATATTACATTTAGCAATTACCATGCAACAAAATTTTTTTTAATATATTTAAAATGACTGATTATTCTTACGATATTCATCGATCGATAAAAGGTACGCATTACCAAAAATATACTATTAGATTTATCGTCAACCAATCAAAAAACAATGTACATATATGGACATATTAAATTTAGTACGCGTACAGTTTAGTCAATGAAGATTAATTAATAGTTTATTACTTTTGTTTTCCAATAGATGTAATTAACATATATATATTTTAACAAATGATAAATTTTTATAACAAAAAATATTTTCTTTTGGCTTGATATGGTTCACACCCAGAATATATATTGTAAAGTTAGAAGGTCAATTTCCTTCAGTGATGTAAAAACTATTGTATCTAATATACAATAAACTAAATAGTTTCCTTTCCCGACCGTAGCTGCTACCTTGACGCGGTGGTCGGGTTTGTCTATCGTGATAACCCAACCGAGCTATATTGGCTGGAACATATGTCCCTTTAGGTTTCACCATGCCAGGCAAGTCAATTGGAGAACGGTAAGACTAAAAGCAGCAACTCAAGATCTAAGGGCGAAGTTGTACTGCTGACTGTGGAGGGGTATGACAGAAGTAAGTTGTTTACCTCGGGCAACCAGTATCTGCAGCGATGCTGCCTTCTCACAAGGAAGGAATAGGTTAGAAAAGGTTGACCCTAAAAATGTTACACCTCACCTTACCTCACGGATTTCTGTCTCCGGCGGTAAGGCCCTTTGAAGAACGGAGCTAACACATTAAAACCTCCCACAAAAAGGCCGTGCGCGACCGGCCTCAAGTAGTTGCTCCTTGGGCTCTGCGGTCATGCTCCCAGGTTGTTAAGACCAACACTAATCCGACTTCTATTTCAGGTTCCTCAAATAATACCCTTCCATGGTGTGGGCAGCCGGGAAGTGACATCAGCCCCCATACCCGTAACAGCACACGAAACCAAGTTGGTCACAATCAAATCTTTTCTACACCTTTTTTATCTTCGCGACTAACCATTCTCAAGTTTTTTTTATCACCTTGTGACGCTAGAGAAAACGATTCGAGCACACGGAATGTTATTCCTGGTCTCCTGAAACCACACACCCTAAACTACATACAGGGGCTTTTAACGTTCGAACACTATGCCGAACAGGACAACAGGCTTCCTTAACTAGGACTTTAGGATCTCGTGCCACCGATGTGTGCTGTGTCTCCGAAACGCGCATACAGGATCCGAGTAGCGTCATTCACTCGACCTCACTACGTCAGAATAAAGAACAACCTCGATTCACGCCTCGTGTATCCGGCAGCCCTGATGCTGCTTTCGGTGGCCTCGCTGGTGTAGGTATAGCATTGAGTCCAAGGGTAGAACTAGCAATCTTAAACTAGATTCTAGTAGACAGTCCAACTAAACGGAACAGTAAGGACTCGGAAAGATAGGGACACTCGTCGTTGCCTCTTCGTCGTCTCTGTCGATTCTCCCACTGACTACAGCTCAGATGATGTAAAAGATGAGTTTTACAGAAAGCTTTCGGACCTTCTCCGAAAAGCTAGGTGCTCTGATGTAGTAATAGTGGCCGGTGACCTTAATGCTCAAGTAGGTAAACTAAGCGAAATGGAAAGACACCTGGGTGGATCTTATAAAGTCGTGGATCAAAGAATAGATTATGGCGACTGTCTGTTGCAGCTATGCTCAGATAACCGCTTGTTTTTTGCAAATACTAACTTTAAGCATATATATATATATATATATATATATATATATATATATATATAGTAAATAATACGAACCTGTGATCCAACAACAATTAATGACAACTTTTTTGAAATACTCATTGTAGACATTCCTAGTGAAACGTCTAGTTGATCCAACAATACTAATGAATTATTTTTAACCTCCAATAAAACCATATGTTCAATACATGAAACAATGATTAATAAACAATTTGATTCCATTGATTGTACACAACGAGGTTGAGATGGAAGCTTTGTAGATAACCTAGGAATGAAGATCAATATATATATATATATATATATATATATATATATATATATATATATATATTCAAAATGTATGACTAATTGTTTTTATATTAAACTGTTTCATACAAAAGTACAAACGATACAAATACTAGATGTATGTATACCAATAATAACATTGTTTTCTGTTTAACTACTGACAAATAAACAGTGGGAAAAAAACAATTAGAAGTATTGATAATGTTACTTGTAAATAGTATTAAGTTTACTCTTGCAAAGTGAAAATAAGTGATTGAGCAACTACAACGTATTCATTCTCCATCTTCCCTAACATTTTGGATTGTGATATCTGCCTATTAGCTTGTTATACTAACACAGTGTGACAACTTGAACGGACGTACATACGTGTCAGGTTTTACGTTGTTTACGTTTGACTAACAGTTATTGTTTGTTTCTTTTTAAGGAAATTTTCTCTAATTATTCTCTACGATATGTGAAAAAGTAAATTGTGAGTCCATAAACAGGAAAGGCGCTTCTTATAATAATAAGATCTTTATTTCCATAATAAATAAAACATTCCCATGGTTTAAAGATTAAAACAGATCATAATAAAAACTGGAAAATATTTTACTACTAGAATTTCTTAATTCATTTATTTAAGAGTGAATGGACATGAGTCCATAAAACACCACGTATTAACTCAGTGAAAACATGTTAGAAGTAGCAAGAGATAACATACAAATATAACGGACATAACTAAACAGTGCTGTTAGAGGTATGAGGGCGGTTTTCACTTCCCGGTTGCCCACACCGTGGAAGGGTTGTTCTGGAGGTACCTGAAAATGAATTTGGATTAAAGGTGGTCTTAGTGACCTGAGAGCGTGACCGCAGTGCCCAAGGGACAACTGCTTGAGGTCGGTCACACACGACCTTGTTATGGGTAATTTTTGTGTTAGCTGCGTACTTATTGAGACCTTACCGCCGGAGACGGATATCCGTGGGATAAGGCGAGGTGTGCATTTTTAAGGTCGACCTTTTCTAACCCCACCCCTCCTTGTGGGAAGGCAGCATCGCTGTCATGCTGGTTGTCTGAAGGAAACACCTTACTGCTGTCACACCTCTGTACAGTCAGCAGTACGACTTCGCCTTCGGACCTTGGGTTTGTTGCTTTTAGTCTTACCGCTCTTCAACCGACCTGTCTGACATGGTAGGACCTTGAGGAACGGTTGTTCCAGCCAGTATAGCTCGGTTGCTTCATCACGATAGGCAAGCCCGACCACCACGTCAAGGTAGCAACACAAGGTAGCAAACACAAATTTTAAGCATAAGGAGAGACATCGTCTAACATGGCGACCCCCTACACCAAACCAACGATGGACTCAAATAGACCATATTGCCATCAGTCATCGTTGGAGAGGGTCGGTAGAAGATTGTCGCTCATTCTGGAGTACCTGCTTGGACTCCGATCATGCCCTAAAACGCGCACGCATCTGCTTGCGCCTCACTGGACGCAAAAAAGCCACATTAAAAAGACCCGTTAGAACTGATTTGAGTAACGAGAAAACCAAAAGTAGGTTCCAGGAACAACTGAGGTCACTCTTAGGTAGTTGTGAAGACGAGGCTGACCCAGATGTTGTTTGGAAGGGCATACAATCAGCTGTGGAAACAGCAGTGACATCTATTAGTGACTTAAACCACAGAGTTGCAAGGAACCAGTGGATTTCTTCAAGGTCTGTCACACTGATGGATTCTCGCAAACTCGTCCCATCAGGTTCTGAACATGATGAAGAGCGAAAACAAATCAGATCTAGGTTAAGAAAAAGTCTAAGAAACGACCGTGAGCAGTGGTGGGCATCGAAAGCAAAAGAGATGGAAAAGGCGGCGACTATAGGGAACACAAGACAGCTTTACAGACTAACAAAAGAAACTGGAATTAATAAGTCAAGTGTAAGTGAGATTATTTCGGAAAAAGATGATACTCTCATCTGCTCCCAGTCCAGACGTTTAGAACGATGGGCGGAACATTTTAGAGAACAGTTCAGCTGGCCTTCAGCTACTCTACAACTACCCTCCATTCCCAGACAGTGTGAATGGAACATTGAAGTAGGTCCCCCGACTCTTACTGAAGTTCAAAAGGCTATAGTTAATCTGAAACGAGGAAGGGCAGCTGGTCCAGATGGATTGGCTCCAGAGGTCTTTAAGGATGGTGGTCCAATTTTAGCGATTAGGTTGACTAATATTTTAGCTAAGATCTGGGAATTAGACTTTATCCCATCTGACTGGTCGCAATCACTTATCGTCCCAATATATAAGAAAGGGTCAAAATCATCCTGTGACAACCACAGAGGGATTAGTTTAACAAACATAGTATCTAAAATACTGGCCTCGATAATTATCAAACGCCTAACTAAGACTCGTGAACTACAAACTCGAGAGAACCAAGCTGGCTTTAGACCTGGTCGTGGCTGCATCGACCACATATTCACCATTCGTCAGGTTCTAGAACACAGGCATACCTATCGGCGTCCGACGATGGTGGTCTTTCTTGACTTAAAAGCAGCATTTGACTCCGTAGACCGCGAGACTCTGTGGCAGTGTCTGTCATTGAAAGGCGTACCTCAGAAGTACATAAACCTTGTGAAGGCTCTTTACTCGAACACTACTAGTCGAGTCAGAGCTTATGGCGAACTGTCACCTGCTTTTGCAACCTCAAGTGGTGTCCGTCAAGACTGTCCACTTTCTCCATTTTTGTTTAACTTCATCATAGACCCACTAATGGGAATAACATTCTCGTCTACTGAATTCTCGGGTATTGATCTCCTTCCAGGAGGTCCACTTATCGACTTAGAATACGCAGATGACATAGTCCTGTTTGGTGAAGACGCTGATGGAATGCAGAGTCTTTTGGTAGCACTAAGCAACAATGCCAGAATGTTTGGAATGCGCTTCTCTCCCTCTGAATGCAAGTTATTGCTTCAGGACTGGTCTGCGTCAACACCTGAACTAAGGATAGGGAGTGAAGTAGTCGAGCGCGTTGACAACTTCACTTATCTTGGAAGTCTGATCAGCCCTAATGGGTTGGTATCGGACGAAATCTCAGCACGGATTCGAAAAGCTCGTTTGGCTTTTGCCAACTTGCGTCACCTTTGGCGAAGGCGAGATATCCGTCTATCAATAAAAGGACGAGTATACTGCTCGGCAGTTCGTTCTGTTTTAATTTACGGCAGCGAAACATGGCCCTTAAGAGTAGAAGACACCCGTAAGCTACTAGTATTTGACCACAGATGCCTTAGAAATATTGCTGGCATCTGCTGGGATCACCGGGTAAGTAATAGCGAGGTTAGACGCAGGGTATTAGGGAATGATGGTAAATCAGTTGATGAGGTTATGAATCTTCATCGACTGAGATGGTTGGGCCACGTATTATGTATGCCTGAACACCGATTACCACGACGTGCAATGCTAACCGGGGTAGGGGATGGTTGGAAGAAAGTTAGGGGCGGCCAAACCAAAACGTGGCATCAGTGCCTGAAGTCACTAACTTCTAGTCTGAGCCACGTTGGTAGATGCAGACTACTTAATTGGGGTCCGTGTGACTTTCGTAACCAATGGTTGGAGACTCTTGGGGACATGGCTCGGAATCGATCACAATGGCGTCGGTGTATACACTCCCTGTCTTCCCTTAAACTAAGAGACTAAAATCACTTCATTCTTTCTGTCTACGAACTAATTCTTTCTTCCTATACTATATCCTTATTGCAACCTTTGACCTAACCACTCCTATGAATCCGCTGTTCATCTTGCTGTGCTAATGAGGTATGGCAACCTGGACCGATGTACATATGTGCCTGGTCCTACGTTGTAGCTGACTGACTGACTGACATAACTAAACAAAATATATAGGTTATCTATACTTTCTTTATGTTAAGGTATCAAAATTCATACCTATTTGGTGATAAAGAAAATTACATATGAAGGTAGTAATAGAACGAGAATGTACTTATCTATATTTGGAACAGTATGTAATATGAACATTTCACATTCCGTCATATATATAAATGTGAGAATATTACTAATATTATGATGGCTATTATATTTTGCATGGCACTTAAGATTTTAGCTACTAGTGATTAAAATTACTTGAAGTTGGACACACATCACATTACTGATAACCAAGGAACAAAAATATATCAGAGTCCGGTTTCCAATATGTTTTCACACCTACTGGTAAACAAATAGGTTGGAATTTTTTACTTTACATTAGAAGTCATAAATTGGTCTTGAAACCTCAATACTACGGTATATCATGTGAGTTGAATGGTCTTTTTCAACCGAAAGTTTCATAATACCGATGTTGAATAATACAACATCACTCATAAAACGTGAATGACTAATTTTTTTTGCAAACTCAAGATCCGATAGTTTATTCACAGGTTTCGTACGACAACATTTCGGGACGTAAATATATGAACTGTGGAATGTGGTGGAGATAACACACTATCAGGACCAAAGCAGAATATACGTTTAACAACTACGTGAGTCTGTTTCTTAGTATCACAAATATCAGCAGTGAAATGCTTCGCAATAATACGGCATTTAATGAAGCAGCGAAGTGAATTATCAGTTTCTAAATACAACTGAGACATTTAGAGAAGCACCTTGCAAAGCAGCACAGCTAGCTGATTGCATTAAAAACGTTAATTCAACTATTTTATACTATGATGATTAGTCGACACTTGACAAAGTAAAACTTTGGAAGGAGCTCAAAGTGCTGAAACATCATAAAACACTAAATTCATCTAATTTAATCTGGTTCCTTTGGAACATAACGTTCAAAAAGCTAGGTTGAATAATCGGAATGGTGTAATGAACCGTTATTGCAAAGTGTGGTCATTACAGTATTTGTTTCTTAAAAGGACTAAAAAACACATGAGAAAATTATGTGTGTAAATTTTCCACCATTTTTTTAGAACATTGAATGTTATGATGGCTACTGCATAGATTTTGCAAAACATGTAATACGATGAATTGTAATGGGAAGGCCAAGTTTTATTCGACTTCCATACTTTGTTGAATATTTAAATACCATTAGTTCGTTAGGTAAAAATAAGAGTTGAAATTATCTGTCAGAAAGTAATGTTCTTGAGCATTTCAATATATCATTTTACAGTAAAGTGAAAGCGTCTAAATATCCATTTCTGTTAATCCAAATCACAATCTTTGTCTAATCACATCATTCTTACTTGATTTGCACATCGATTATATTTTCAATGGAAAGTGAGCAAGGATTAATTAGACCTGGGGAAGAGCTTTTAGATCACGAATACTAACAATATGTCTTCATACCACAAAAGAATAAATACTTTCAAACTGTACTTTTTCACCTAACAAAAAGTATCTGTAGCCACTCCACATACTTTGTACAATCCAAATCCAAAGTATTTTCGCAATATAGTTAGGAATATGAACCTACGATAGCTCATGAGAGTTGTCCATCGGAAACATTCGAAAGCCCATTTTATACGGATAACTTTTTGGATGGTAATGAAAGTGCGATAGCTGAGATTGGTTTACAGAGTTTAAATCCAATGGGGCCTTATGAAAATTGTCTAACATTTCCGTGTAAGTAGTTCTACTCTATATCTAGGATACCTGCCGTAACGAAATCAGATACATTAAACATCTGTTTGATTATTGCTATATTTCATAATTCAGTCAGTCAGGTACAACGTAGGACCAGGCACATATATGCGTCGGTCCAAGTTGCCATACCTCATTAACACAATATGAAAACCGAATACATAGAAATAGTTAATTCAGTGACGGTAATATATAAAACAAAGATTGCAATAATGATATAGTACAGGAAGAAAGAATTAGTTCGTAGAAAGAAAGATATGAAGCGATTTTAATCTCATAGTTTAAGGCAAGACAGAGAGTGTATACACCGACGCCATTGTGATCGACTTTGAGCCATGTCACCCAGAGCCTCCAACCATTGGTTACGAAAGTCACACGGACCCCAATTAAGTAGTCTGCATCTACCAACATGGCTTAGACTAGAGGTTAGTGTCTTCAAGCACTGATACCACGTTTTGGTTTGGCCACCCCTAATTCTCTTCCAACCATCTCTAACACCCGTTAGCATTGCACGACGTGGTAATAGGTGTTCAGGTATACGTAACATGTGGCCCAACCATCTCATTCGATGAAGATTCACAACCTCATCAACTGATTTACCATCATTCCCTAATACCCTATGTCTAACTTCACTATTACTTACCCGGTGATCCCAGCAGATGCCAGCAATATTTCTAAGGCATTTGTTGTCAAAAACTAGTAGCTTACGAATATCTTGTACTCTTAGTGGCCACGTTTCGCAGCCGTAAAGTAAAACAGAACGGACTGCCGAGCAGTATACTCGTCCTTTTATTGATAGACGGATATCTCGCCTTCGCCAAAGGTGACGCAAGTTGGCAAAAGCCAAACGAGCTTTTCGAATCCGTGCTGAGATTTCGTCAGACACCAACCCATTAGGGCTGATCAGACTTCCAAGATAAGTGAAGTTGTCAACGCGCTCGACTACTTCACTCCCTATCCTTAGTTCAGGTGTTGACGCAGACCAGTCCTGAAGCAATAACTTGCATTCAGAGGGAGAGAAGCGCATTCCAAACATTCTGGCATTGTTGCTTAGTGCTACCAAAAGACTCTGCATTCCATCAGCGTCTTCACCAAACAGGACTATGTCATCTGCGTATTCTAAGTCGATAAGTGGACCTCCTGGAAGGAGATCAATACCCGAGAATTCAGTAGACGAGAATGTTATTCCCATTAGTGGGTCTATGATGAAGTTAAACAAAAATGGAGAAAGTGGACAGTCTTGACGGACACCACTTGAGGTTGCAAAAGCAGGTGACAGTTCGCCATAAGCTCTGACTCGACTAGTAGTGTTCGAGTAAAGAGCCTTCACAAGGTTTATGTACTTCTGAGGTACGCCTTTCAATGACAGACACTGCCACAGAATCTCGCGGTCTACGGAGTCAAATGCTGCTTTTATGTCAAGAAAGATCACCATTGTCGGACGCCGATAAGTATACCTGTTTTCATAATTGCTCGAACTCGATGATAAAATTGTATAATTATTACTGATAATGAGCGGGAAATATCTGGGGACGATGCGCATCGTTTCTTCATAATCAAACCACCCTAAAACACCATATTTAGTTGAATGGAAACATTTTTGATGAGAAATCTCTAAAGCTATCATGTGAAACCCTGATTTCCAAAGCTAAACTTGGATGAAGCAACACAGATGTTGTTGGTTTCTGACATCGCATCATGAAATGGGTAATAACTGTTGCTGGTTTATCATGTATTGATGCATGTCGATTTCCTTATTATATTACTGGAAATCGTGCAGCCAAGAGGTTTAATACGTAATCAGATACGACTTACATCAGTGGAGAACATGTTGTAACAAAACGAAAAACACTTTTTGAATCTATTTCATATGACTATGTCAAATATTTTTACAGCTGTCACCATTTAAATGCCTATTTTGTTAGATATTTGAAATATTATTTTTATCATCTTTTGACTATCATGATTTTGCTTTGAAATAAATATATGAAGTATAAAATAACAAACCCTTATCACAATGAACAAGTCCAACACTCACAGACTTCATATTTATCCACTTAGTCAACTATATTTTGGATGGGCAGCAATATATACAGTAAGAAATAGACAAGGTGAAAAACTTAACTTACATGTGTTTTAGTTCACTTATCGAACTGACAACACATCGATCATCGATACCAACAGTGATTACATATTTTCCTAAAAGCGATATTGATTGTACTTGTGAAGTATGAGCTTCTGTACCAGAAAACATTTCAGCTAAACCAGTTGATGTATCCCAAGATGCCATCGATCCGTCAGAACTTGCAGTAATTAAACGATTATTAAGCGTGCTAAACCTTGCACAAGTTATATGGAGTTTATGCCCATGTATAGAAAGTTTTGGTGGAGCGAGAGACTTCGATCCAGGTGGGACATCAAATATATGAATCGAACCACTTAAAGATACAGCAGCAACTTTATTGCCTACCCATGTGCAACCGAGCTGAAGAATAATAAACAGTTATAAATTGATATATTATGAAGGAAAAAACCTTCTAGGGTTACTACCTATCTAAAGCTCGAGTAAAAGAGGATTGAACATGGGGTTAGCAACCTCAGCTCATTAACAAAAAGCTCGCCAATAAGCATTAACCGAAAAAAACAATTAAGGCATTTAAACTCTACCCTTTGAGTTAAAGGATTTTCACGTACAAGAGTTATGACGCCTCATGATAAAAGCCAAGATTTTTCTGAAGTCTCGAGGTATATGCCTATTCTGAAAATCAGAGCGACAATCAATAAAGGGACATGAAATGTTTGGACAATTTGAGAGACCAAGAAGGCCATACAAACAACCGCAAAAGAGAGAAGATAAAAGCCAACCCAAAATCCTTTGGATATAATATGAACGAAAAGAGACTGATTTCAGGATAGCTGTTGTGTCCTGATCGTGAAGAAGAAAATGTACTACACACATAAGGAGTTGCACTGATGCCGTTTAAAGAGGTATAAAATGCGCTCATGGAGTCAGAAAAGTTTTACTACAGGACCATCAGAACATCCTTCGAAAAAAAGAAGTACAATGAATTTTGTCCAGTGCTACATGCACCCACTTATTATAGGAGTGAAGATGATAAAAATCAGTTTTATGGGAGGGTGTAGTTTATCCTAAAGAGATGACAGAAAAAGAATTGACAATCCTGATGGAAGACCTAACCGCCAAAATCAGGATGGACAACATCGGGTATGAATTCATTGAAGAGCGACATGGACTGGGAGAAAGAAACGACAATGATGAAGGGGGAAGCATTTCCCAATAAAAAAGTCTACACAAAGCTACATGGGTTTCACTGGACCACACTACAGTAAACCAGACCGATTCCATAAGCGCAGGTAGAAAACTCGAAAGGGCCATCGATCTAAGAATAAAGAAATAGGCTAATATGGATTCAGGTCACCACCTGATGGTGACCAGGCTAAAACTGAAGATAAAGAAGCATTGTACAATAGGACGAGCAGCACTACGAACGTTTATTTAAGCCCTTCTTTGAGATGGTGATGACGAACATTCAGCATTTGGGATATTAGATACATGACCTTTCTACAAATTTATGAAACCAGAAAAGGAAAGAATGACAGTATAGGATGCAATCATACTGCTCAAAATAGTGGACCACGATCAGTTGCACAGAAACAGAGTTGTCTTCACTAAATCAAGTCATATACGCTTAAACAATAATGACTAATGAATAACGTCGATACTCTTAATTTTTATGCTCCTCGTAGCACTCGACGTCAACCATGACGAAATGTCAGTGGCAGTCAATAGAATTTTGATCCTAACAAACAACTATCAATAGTTTCAGCACCCCAAATGATTGACACCATCATTCGGAGCTCCAAAAAGGAACCGAACTGCAAAGTCGTGCATTAAGGGCATCTCTCAGATGCATCTTAAGTGAAGAGTGGTGTCCGACTAAGCAGCTTACTTTCACCTTTTCTCTTTTTGGCGGCTCTCGACTGGATTATGAAGACATCTACGGCTCAGGGAAGACACAGGATACAATGGACATCTCGTACGCAGCTAGATGATTTAAACTTTGTAGATGACTTAGCCCTTTTATCACATCCACGGAATCAAAGGCAGGCGAAGACAGTCGGTGAAGCAGCGGCTTTCGCAGAAATAGGTTTCGATATTAGTAAGGGGAAAGGTACGATCTTGAAACACAATAGTCAGTATCAACCGAATCATACTTGATTGTGAAGCTCTGGAAGGGGTATGGCATTAACATATCCGGGTAGTGCGATTGGGACACAATAAGGATCTGATGCAGATACCAAGGTACGAGCTGACAGAGCAATGACAAAACTACAATTCAAGAATATCTTGGACACAAAAGAACTCTTACCCAAGGTCGGAGTCAGAATTTTCAATCCTAACGTTAAAACAATCATATTCTACGGGAACGAAACGTCGAAAACCAACACAACCATAAAAAATAAACTACAGGTACTTATAGATAGCCATCTACAATACACTCCAGATCTACTGGCTAGAAACTATCAACAATAACCTAATGTGACAGAGAACAAACTGAAAGCCAGTTGAGGATGGAATTAGGAAAAAACGCCGGAAGTGGATAAGATACAGTATACGGAAACCATAATACGGCTGTTACTTGGAGATCCCTAGTCTGAGGCCTATGCCTTAAGAGGCTTACGTAAATAGTAAGTAATGAGATAACCTATAAGCTACTATTAATTGAAGAGACAAAAACTTTTTAAAAATATATTTACAACAACAAAAAACTTTAAAAATAGCCGTCAAAGTTGTATATTTGAGATTTTACTGTTCATTACTAGATTACGAAAGTTTAAAGTCAATCATTTTCTTAAGCTTGACTCGAATAGTCAATACAAGTCTTTAAAATGAATTAACTTGTAAAAAGTACGAATAGTGGGATTGATACCATCTAATGTCAAGCTATCATAGAGTAGAACCAATTGTCTTAGTATCGATGAATAAAACATGAGGTGGTCTGGGAATATATGGTGGATTTTATACCAGTTTTTGACTAACTACTAAAATTGGCTGAGACATGCACACAATTCGAGAATTAAAGAGTTGGTTTATCTAATTCAGGGGCTAGATGTTAGTGTCCATAAGGTGATATTTATTTATTTATTTGAACACATAAATATTGGTACAAGAATGCGCCATAAGGTGACAACATGGTTTTATAGAAAACGTTTGGCAAAACACGCCTAGAATAGTCGTTAAACTAAATATATACAACTGTGTCGCAATCTAAAAAAGTGCAGTCCAATGGTTTTTAACTAGTCTATTTGGATGAAAGCTAGTAAACTCTTCAGCCCTGAATTGATTACAGTCATAGTAATACTGATAGTCATAAAATTAGGAATTTAAATATACATTGTACAAAACATTAACTAGTTTCAGTCCGCATACCAGACTATAGAGCCACCTGTGTAGAGGTTGATTATAGTTACAGTTGAGTGATGACTAACAGTGTTCAACAAAATTAATTAGTTTTTGTTACCCTACTATAAAGGTGGAGTATTATTGGTTTAATCACACTAGTAACAATTTCACACCGAGTTTACTAAAAAGACTTGAACACTGGCTAAGATACGAAATCTTTTCATGAGTGTGGTTTAAAACCCAATGAATTGAACCGGATGTATTTACAGAGAAGAAGACTGAGTAAATTAACCAACATTTAATCCTGACAGTCTGACTGTATATTTGTTTCTATATCCATACAACACATCAGACTCCAGTAGTCATGGCTAAATTCTTATTCGTTTACAATAACATAATAATTTAAAACAGGCTTCCTATATATTTTTCATCATAGCTGACTTGAAAACATGAAATCAGTTCCGTACTTTTTAAAATTTCTAACACAGAGGTCAAAGTATTTTAATTACTATGCATATCACACTCATTTTTAAAATCGATACACTAACAGTATAAGTACAACTAATTAGGTTATTATGCGACCAGTGCGTCAAATGAAATTAAAAATCAATAACCAAACTTACTAGCATATTCATTAAAACATTTTCAAACGAATACTTTGAAAGGTAAGAGAGCGTTTTAGCTTCAACACTCCATAACTTGATGGACTTGTCTGCAGAAGCAGAAACACAGAGAGGACTTTGCCGTGAGAATGAAATGGCATAGACTCCTCCTTCATGCGCTGGACTTCCAACTTCAGATAGTTTCTCACCACTTTCACCATCGTGAAGGAATATCTAGGACAAATCATGTTTTAGAGAATGATTACCTTTCCATCTGCCCCACCGGAAACAAAAAATGATCCATTCAATGAGTACCGAACCACATTGACAAAACCTTTATGGTTCTAGAAATAAGGTAAGACATAAACGTGACATCACACTTGAAAAGAGTTCTTGAATGAAAATGGAGGACCCTCAAGGAAGGTCACTAAGCCCTCATCGTTTCCAGTAATGGCACGGTAGGGTCGAACAGGTCGAAAATCGACGGAATTGATACTTCTGCTCATGCCTGTAACTGAACCCACAGACGTCCCTGTTTCAACCATGAATACTGCTCCAAACCTTAAAGTAAAACAAATACTCGAGGCAGGATTTACTTTGAAGCACCGTTGCCACCAACAAGCATACGAGCGTTATCTGAAGTCCAGGCCAAATCATTTATAGGACCACTGAATGGTTGGTATTCATATTTTAGCAAGTGCTCCCCGTTGATAGTGTCCCATATCCGTACTTTCCCGTTATTATCTAAGACCTCGTAAAATTTTAAAAGTTCTCACCTGCTGAAGCTATATAAAATCCACTGGGTGAATATTTTGCAACATTTACAGCTACTGAGTGCTGAGTGTACATATCACTATCAGCAGGATTCTAGAGCAAGTAATAGAATAGAACCAAACTACCTCAATTGAGCGAATAACGACACTGTTTCCAGTGACATATATAAGCTTTTTACCTTTGGGGTCTGCATCGAAAACAAGTGATTTTCCCCTAACTACTCGGGGGAGTGGGGGAAAGATCTTTTCTGCAGACTCAGTTAAGTAGATATGTTTAGACTAACCTAGAGTGTACATAACCAAGACCCACTAATGACAAAAAAGGTGCGATTAACACTGACTTAGTAACTGCTGGGCACAAACCTCACGAATTCACAAGTTCGAAGTGGCGCCAACCTTGTTTTGACTTGTTGTAGGTCACTTTAAATAGAACAGAAGCTTTCAAACGACGCTAAGTGTTTGACAGCCACAAAATAAGATACTTAAGTGAAGTTGTTGCCTTATTCTAGGGTTTAGGTTGGTAAGTCATCGTCTAAGCCTGACGTGCGCTAATGAGTCGATCGCGATACTAAAAGCGACTTCGTGGTCTTGAAATAAATGTCAAACAGGGATGTAAAATATTGTTTAGAGGTTATGTAGAAGTTAGGGCTTTTGGTTTAATCACAAACTGAAGATAGCTACAATTAAAAACCTTAAGACCCACACTTTAGTCGTGACTATGCTACTCTAATGAAAGTTGATGAATGGGTACAGATCAAGAATACGGCACAACCTAATGGTGCTAAATAAAAGCCAGCAGCCAGGAACTTGAAAACTTATCATGTTGGTAGGTCGTTTGTCTTTCATAGCGTCAAGGTTGGTGAAAGTTCACAACTCATAACTCGTTTAGTGCATGACATTAAGTTGAGAAAACATCTGCTAAACGAGCTAATACCTCAAGATATTTTAGTGTCGGTTATTATGCTAAACCCATATATCTTATTCTCTCTTTCGGACAGCCCAACCTATTCATTCTACTCGAGTCACATTTTGACCTTGTTAATTATCCGCTTATCAATCTCGACTGTTTTTATATGAGCGTAGGTGTGTGTACATTTCTTATCCCATTACTCATCACATGTCTGTAACCTATTTTCGTGTGACTATAAGTTTTGGTTAATGATTGACTAAAAGGGATATGGCCAACACCGCGCGTCTTTCCTCTTCTCTCTATTCCATTCGCCGCATATACAAAATATATGTATTCAAAAGTCCATTCTCGTTATTTGACTTATTTAATTCCGTTATTGACTAACTCGATTTAAGTCGATGATTATATACGAGGATAGATGATAAAAAACATTCATACGATCTAGTTGGAGTCAGATCTCGAGCCACTAAAATGGAGAGCCGTTTCGACAACATCGTACGATCTAAATGACGCAAAATTAAGGGCCCCACAAAAATATCTCTGAAGTCACCTTGCTAGAGGTTGATAATCTATGTAGCGAAATGGACCAGAAACAGAATAAACCAGGCTACTAAAAGTATTATTTAAATATCCCAATGAAAGGGACTTGATACTACAGAATGAACTTAAAATAATGGAGTCACGAGATTTTTCCGTAAAGACTTACCTATCTTGGACCGTACAAAGAGACGAGAGGCTGAAAAGAACTAAAGCTAAGGTTAGGCGGTGGTGAAAGCGCCCTTAGAACAGTTTTTGAGGCTTCGACGGAGAATGATGTCGAAGCCACGTATGGTGCAACACGAAGCCGTTTTAATGGTCTCTGTATCTTTTGCTCAAATGCTCGAAGCTTTCTCAACAAGCGACCAGAAATAGGTGTACAGATAGACTCCATGTAGCCAAATGTGGTTTCAGTCGCAGATACGTGACTGCTGCAGTCTGTAGACGGTAAGAAACTTGATTTTGAAGGCTTCACATTCGCATGAGCTGACAGAATACGGAAGCGTAGAAGAGGAGTAGCTCTATTCATCAAAAGTATCATCTCATTTGGCGTTATTGCTAACATGTCTCATGAAAGTGTGGCATGTGAATTAGTTAGTTTCCGCTTGGAGGGCATTGGATATGAACTGCCGGTATGTTACGTATACCGCAATCCAAACTGTAAGGTGAATGAGGTCATGCTAGGCAGTTTCAATACTTGGTCACAAAGTGGCCGGTGTTTAATCCTAGGAGACTTCATAATATATATATATATATATATATATATATAATTTTATCTCCACCCCAAATGTGTTCTTCGGAGGCGCTTAACATCATGCTGCTGTTTCACAATAGGACGAGTCAGTATAGATAATTATATGACTTCTATGTAAGATTTTATAGGTTAGGTAGTAGTGTCATGATAAGTCTACAATTTTGGGATTGAGTCTATTATTGAAGTAACAAAGATAAGTGTACAAACACTGAATTAAGCCATAATCACACGTCATAAGTCTCCATTGTATGCTACCCTTAGGTAAAATTGACTGTTCTGTTCTAGTCTTTGATTTCCATGTAATCGTCAATAAGGAGGAAGTGTCAGCCCGAACCAAACCGAACATCTGAAAAGCAAATTTAAAAGATATTATACACTCAGCATCCTCAATAGAACCAGATTACCCAATTGAAACTACCTGGGATGTATTCATAAATCTGTGAATTAAATTCACTACACTTCACATCATTTGGACTACGCCGAAGGATTCGAGAAACCCCCCACTGTGGTTCAGTAAAGATGTCGGTAACGTTCATTGTAAGCGGAGGAGAATGTGAAAGAGATTTGGGTTACAGTATACTGACAAGACAAAGTCTCAACATGGGAGAGTTCCAAATATCTTTTCCTCGACGCTTTGAAAGTTCAGAAGATTGTACGAAGAAAAGCTTGTTAAGGAGTCTATAGAATGCCCTAAATGCTTATACTTATACATAATACAATGCAATAGGAGAAGAGGAAACATTCCAGCATCATCTATATACAGTAGTACTGCATCATTAGTGAAGGACGATTATGATAAAGCCCCGGTAACCTCAAACCTCACAAGCAATGTATATACCGTAGAGATGTCTTCCCCTCTAGTTCATACCAACCCTCGCACACATAATGGACACTATGACCATCAAAGAACTTGATGTATTTGGTCTGCCTAATGAGCTTGATATAGACAAACCAATCAAACTATATTAAATGCAACCTAGGTTACTAAGTGAATCAGTGAATTTCGTCGTGAATCCAGTGGGCAAATGTTTCAATCTATCTGTAACTCATGGTCGATTACCGAAAGACAAACGTACGCCATTGTAAATCCTGCCTTCAAAGCAGGTGCGAGATAAAAGCGTAAAAACAATCGACCCACAGGCCTAACGAGCGTGGTTATCAAAACCTTAGAAATGATTATTCGGAAGCTTTTTAAATATCTCAACGAATATAAGATTCTTCCTCGAAAGCAACATGGCTTTAGAATTGGTTGTTTCCGTCTCAATAACTTATTAGCAGCCTGTGAGAGTTCGTTCGCTCGTAAAGAATAAAAGTTGCCTATAGACAAAGCCCATACTGACTTCAGCAAAGCTTCTAACAACTTTCTTCAAAACCGACTGTTATATAAGTTGGAGGCGATTTATTAGTGCAGATAAAGGACTTACTAGTTAGACAGCAACAAAGAGTACGGACGAACTTGAAGTTGTCTAGCTGGAAAGCTGTGATAAGCGGAGTGCCTCAGGGTGCAGTTTTAAGGCCAGTGTTGCTTCTCTTGTTTGTAAATGGCTTCCCATTCTCCTATTATCACCTGTCTTGCTATATGCTGACGATATGAAGAGCGATAAAAAGTAAAGGTGTTGGGTTAGAGCTTTAAAATGATTTGAAAACTTATCTAAATCATCTGAAATTTGACGGTTGCGGATAAATTCTTCCAAGTGCACTGTGATGCATATTGGTCACCAAGGCACAGATATATACACGGTGAATAACACTGATCTACCTGTCGTCCAGACACACCATGGCTTAGGATTCATCGTTAGACAAGACTTGCTAATCTCTACACACTGCAGTACGATATCCATCAAAGGTTTTGGAACCCTATGATCAATACGTAGGGTCTTTAGCCATGTCGATGCCAAAATCTTGACTTTGTATGCAGTATTCGTTTGTCCTAAACCCAAGTACTGAATACAAGTGGTTAGCCCCTGACTAAATGGAGATAATGTGTTGTTTGAAAAGGTTTAAAGAACCACAACTAAGTTGATTCCAGGAATAGCAAAGCTCCCGTATGATGCTCGACTGGCTAAACTAGACCAATTTCCACTGTCATATAGAAGAAGCAGATGTAACCTGACCATAGTTTTTTAAATTATTCAGTGATAAATTTGCATCTGATATGCCGTCAATTTTTTATCTTTCAAAACGGAATTTACGAGGACACTGTAAAAACGTCACAAGCCAAAAAATTACTTGTCAGTTGACTATCAACTTCCCTGTAGAGTCATCAATGAATCGAACTCACCATCCCAACACGTGACTGAAAATTCATCTGCCGATGCTGGATAGGCTGAGAGACTACCATTGCCAGGACTAGGACATGCCATATAGCCTCTCGTCTTTTTCAAAATGAAACTGAAATGAATTTTAGGTTTGGTCAGTAGATCTAGTGAACTGTTTGATCCTTGTGGTCCTCTTATAAATAGATATTGATTACGTAGAGATATAACTTTTGTCATACTTCTCATAGAAGCTGGAGGGCAAAATAATTTTGTGAACAATGGGAGTGATCGAGGGCTAACGCTGTGTAATCTCCCTTAGTGTCTACAGAGTTAGAGTAATTGTCACATCCTTAAAAAATTCACTTTTCTATATGGAGTTCCAGAACATACCGAGTTCAGTGGGAAAAATATTTTCATAGATTTTTGTGAAGCTCTCTTGTGTTCTATCTTGAGTGGATGTCTTCTCAAGTGACTCATTACCGAAACACATCAGTGATTTATTCTGGTTGAGAGGATTGTAACACAACGTGATCACATCCTGTCTAGTTATTATGCACCCCTCCGACTATGTCTTTATGGACTACATGCAAGACAATTAGGCTCTGTTCGTTATTCCTAATACCTTTTTAGTCTCCCTTCTTCGAACATGTTCCAGGAGATCGATATCTTACTCATGACAAGAGAATATAACTTGGTAGTATTTTTCAAAACGAAGTCTTAGGCAAACACCAAAAATAGCTTTTTTGTTAACTTTGGAGTCAGACAACTGACTCTACTGTAAAGGTGTCTCAAAACGAACCATTTTTTCTGGCTGCGTAATGCCAATTATAATAGAATCTCAGAGTATCACAGACTGGTACTTAGCAAAAGGAATTCCCAAGGGATTTCAAGATTAGTGGGATATCAATGCTGTTTACAACTGGCATTCTCCGCTTATTGATGTCGGGAGAGGAGGAA